AAGTACACAATGTGATAAGTAACTCTCCCGCAACTGAATACAAGACCTTTGGATAATTAACCTCAATAGCTAAAGGGTTTGTCATTCAACAGAGCAAATATCAATTTGCCGATAATGTTCTAGAACTGCAAAAACACTTATTTGAATTAAGTGCTTGAAATGGACAAAACACTAATGTAGAAAATTTAGTTAAGAAAAAATATTAATTATTATACATTAAATTTAAGAGAAAATATTAAATTAAAGATATAAATGTCATAAACTAAAAAAAAAAGTTAAAACTTTGTTGATGCTTAATTTTTGACAACACTATTCGACGTGCAAGTGCTAAGTTACTTAGAAATTACACGTAAATAAAATGAAGAAGTATTTATGGTGCTGAAATGATATATGTTTGCAGAAACATAAATAAAGATTGACAATAGAGGTTTTTATAGTGGTTTGATGTTAAAGTAAATCCTACATCCACTGTTATTTATTATTCTTGACTATTCCATGTATTGCTTAAGGCATACAAAGATGGAGAAATACTTTGTTTACAGAGAAAAATAAGCTCTCATGTGTCTAGCTCTCCTGTGTTAACTCTCATATGTCTAACTCTCCTTTTACGAAGAAGGTGCCCATTTATACACATTTAAGGTTATATAATGAGTGCTTTTGCAAGTTGTCTTGACACATGGAGAGTTCCATTCATTTATTTTAAAAGAGATAGGGTTGTATAAAATATCTTTGAGGCGGTATGGGCTTGATAGCTACTACACTTGTCTTTTAGGCATTTGTTGACTATGACATCAGTGTCCCCCTCTTCCACCCCCCCCCCCCCCCCCCCCAGTTTTGGAGTGCGTAATTGCACTTCAAAAACTCATTCCTTAGATCTGAATGATTGTCGCACTATAGGCTGTAGTCTCGAGCTAAAGAGCTCGAACTATGCCTGACGCAATCGGGTGCTGAAAGCTATGACTGCAATCTAAGCACGATTTGATAAGACATAAAATTTAGTAGATAAATTGCTGACGTCAAAGCCCAAAATGCACGGCTTAGAGCCTTAAACGAACAAGCCAACTTAAAACAACCAAACTTTTGATCCAGAGGAGTTTTGGACTGAAAGAATCCACATAAAGCTCATTCCAAGCTCTACGTCTAAAAATTGAAACCTGGTTGGGGCCATTTCAGGGCCAAAATCCTTTTGGCATGTTTTGGGGCTGTTTGAGTTTCTACGTATTTTTTTCTAATGCTGCAACTAGTCGCAACTGAGACTGAGAACTAATCGTGATCTGAGAGTAAGAGCATGACCTGAGGCTATTCACAATCTCAGAGCTAAGAGTTGATCACAATTTGGAGCTAGGAGTTGATCGCGATGATAGGAGCTCGACCTGAGATCTAAGGCTGCGATCTAAACTATCTGATGCACACGATCTCAAGCAAATGAGCGAGTTATGAGCTCAATCAGAGAGATAAGGAGCTTGATCTGAGATCATAAGGAGCTCGATCTGAGAACTCAAAAGCTCTTTAAGATCTAAGAGATGAGCTCTTGCGATCTAAGAGTTAGGAGTTCAATAAAAAAAACAGAAGGAGTTTGATCAGAAAGCGCAAAGCTTTATCTGAGAACACAAGAAGTTCGATAAAAAAGTGCGAGGCTGATCTGAGAACACAAGGAGTTCGATCAGAAAGCGCGAGGCTTGATTGAGAACACAAGAAGTTCGATCAGAAAGCTCAAGGCTGATTTGAGAACACAAGATGCTCGATTAGAAAAGCGCAAGGCTTGATATGAGAAAACAAGGAGTTCGATCAGAAAGCGCGAGGCTTAATCTGAGAACATAGGAAGGTTCGATCAAAAGCGCGAAGGATTGAGAACGTAAGATCAACGATTTAAGCGCGATCTAAATTATCGACGCGTGATCTCAACAATCTTGAACGAGCGATCTGAGAAATCGGATGTGTGCGACTGACGACACGATAGAGACTGAAAATTAGAGCGATATAATAATGCGATCTGTGATCTGACTACGCGATCTGAAGATGAAGATCAAAGCGATCTGAGGTGCGATCTTCGATCTGGCCACGCGATATGAAGGTTAGATCAGCGATCTATAGCTGAAGATCAAAAGCAATTGAGCATGCGATCTGGCAGCGATCTGAACTAAAGATAGCGATTTGTAGTTAAAGATTAGAACGATCTGAGCGTGCGATCTGCGATTTGACACCAATCTAAAGCTAAAGATCAGAGCGATCTGAGCATGCGATCTTTGATTTGACCGTGCGATCTTTGATTTGACCACGCGATTTGAGAGCTCTGATGCATGTAATCTACAATCTAGCACGCGATCTGAAGCTAAAAGATCGAGAGATTTGAGTGTGCAATCTGCGATTTAAGCAAAGGATAGTGATCTGAAGCTGAAGATCAAAACAATCTAATGTGTGCGATCTGTGATCTGGCCACGCAATATAGAGCTATAATGGTGCGATCTGCGATTAACCACGTGATCTAGAGCTCTGATGCGGAACAAGCTTCAGTATTTTGACGTACTTGAGGTATATCTCGAATTTGGATGTTTTGGACCATGCGAAAGATAACTCAAGGGCTACAACTCTTGTGTTTATCACATCAGATTCAAACTTTATCCTGCTCGGATCTCCACATCAGGAGTGAAGATTTTGAGGCTTGCTAGAAAAACATGGAGAGCTGATGTGAATCATCTTTTCTAGCGCAACTGTTGATGCTGATTTTTACACCAACTACTCGCACGTGCAAATGTTAAGCTAACTTAAAATTACACGTGAATAGAAAATGAAGAAGTGTTATAGTGTTGAGATGATATATTTGCAAAAACAAAATAAAAGATTGACAAGAAAGGTTTTTACATAGTTCGGATGCTTAAAGCAAATCCTACATTACTGTTATTTTATTATTCTTTCGATTCCATGATATTGCCTGTAGGCGTACAAAGATGGAGAAATACTTTGTTATAGAGAAAAATAAGCTCTCATGTGTCTAACTTCACATGTCTCACCTCTCCTTTACGAAGAGAGGTGTTCATATACACCTTTGAGATCAATGTAATGAGTGTTTTGAAGTTGCCTTGACACTGGAGAGCTTCATTCATCCTTATCTAAATGAGATAGGTTGTATAAAATATCTTTGAGGCAGTATAGGCTTAATAGCACTTTGTCTTTTAGGCACTTGTTGAGCTGACATCAGTGTGACTTTTTGGCACAACATACTTTAGGGTTAGATTGCCCAAAAGGCAAAAGGTATTCAGTTGCCTTTTTTTTTTTTTTTTATAAATGTTTACTAATTAATTATTATTATTATTTTAATTTATTTTTTAATGATAGATATTTTAAAATTATAAATAATTTCAAATATTACAAAATTGTCAAATAACATTTTACCCTTATAAATGTTACCTTTTACATTGTTATTTCCCTTTAGTGTATTATTTTTTGAGTTTTCTAAAGTTTGTCCACAAATGATATTTGCATTTTCAGTAGATAATGCTACAAATACACACCCCTTATATAAATTATTCCCTATAAACTTATACAACATCCCTGCATATTTGTCTATAATATTAATTTATTTACATGATATGTATCTTTATTTCTTCAACATTAGGACTTCCCAAACTTACATATTACAACACTAGAGATTCATGATCTCGATTTTTGTTAGTACTAACTATAAATTGTGGTTAAACCGTATGCACGGGACTGACGGGAGTAACCCGCAAGAATTGCAAACTTCTTGTTCGTTTGGTTTGAGTTTGAGTAAGCAAAGCGGCCACAGAACCAACAAAAGCAGCATCATGTAAGTGGTAGGTTCAGCGTGGGAGTAGTCTGATCTGCATCATTAAAGATCATTTGAATCTGGCCACCAACAATTGCACCTACATGAATATTTGGATTTGGTTTTCCAGAATTGTAATAGCGTGAGTAGCCGGTCGTTACAATTTACTTTTCCTGGGAGAACTCGGATCGAGGGAATGGATGCACTCTGTGGTGATTTATAACTCACTCTGTCATCACTTGCTCCACCCAGAAGAAGCTCATGCATGCTCCACTAGACAGAAGCCAAAAGGAATTCTACGTCCATATTTGCAAGTTGGTAGCATTAATTTGACTTTGATTATTATTACTATTATCATTTTCTCTTTTCCGACCTTGAAATCTTTGGTCAGTACACGGTTTTGTTCTCCTAAAGCTCAAAAGAGCCGATCAATTTGACGACAAAAAAGTGGGAATGGGAGAGCATGAATAAGAAATCCTATACATTCTTATAGGTTTGAGGAGCGGGGACCAACAGTTCCATACTCACTCTAGTTGCATCGTTCAAAATCCAAATCAATAATAGAAGAATTAATTGAGTTGTGACTTGTGACTCCCATAACTTTAATATATATATATGGTAATCGGGGTATCCAAACTAATTTGTGTGTACCTTAATTAATCTTTGGAGTCCATTAAACACCCTAAAAACTTAATAAATCAAGTAAGTCATATGTTATTGTGGTAGGTGATCCTAAGGTTTGAACCTAAAAACAAAAAAAAAAAAAAAAGAACAAATTTTCTTAACCGCTATTCTGACGGTTGGGTTAACTCTGCATATTCATTTAGATATTTTCCCAATTGCAATTTTTATGATAAGGTTTTATTGATAACAATTGGACGTCATGCATATAATATTATTGTTAATATTGTTTATTAATTGACTAAAAATAAAAATGGGCCAATTAAAGAAGTCCATGCGCGTGAAGTGTGTTATGGGGGACGAGATTTTATCTAAATTCTTCTTCTTCTTTTTTTTTTAATAGTTTTCCAAGCTGGGCACTGGTTGACTTTTCAAAAAGTCAACCGAATGGAGGTACAAAGCCGGTTTAAAAGGAAGAAACAAAACTTCGAAACAGCGGCTTCAAGTACAGAAAATATATTGTTTTCAACTTTTCTCCAATATATAAGCAAAATCGGTCATTAATATCATCCATGCTTGGATTCTCTGAAAATCTAAAGACTGTAGCCGCGTAATTTTCTCTTCTTCTATCTGTCTTTATAATTCTACAGCTGATCGGTTTTTGTGCTTGATGATGAACGAGTTTGTTTGCATGGACTGGGATTTGCAAGCAATAGTGCGAGGCTGCAACGTCGGTGAGGCCCCAAACTCCATGGACGACACAACATCTTGTTTTTCTCCTTTGAGTCCTCAACAAGATGCCCTTTTTAAATTTCCTGATATTTGTGAAACCACAACGATTATAAATGAATTAGATGAGCTTTACAAGCCCTTCTATCCGCAAACCATCCTCACCACCAGTCCCATTTCGGTTCCTGATGAAGTTGAGAAGCCTAAGAAGCTGAGAAAGCAACAGTCTCTTTCTGGTTCTTCAAATAGCACTGGTGATACCGATCAAGCAGCCAAACCGAAAAGAGGGTTAGTATATTCATTTAGTTTATGAACTGCATATTAGTTTTGAGACGTGTACAGGTTTATCAGAATTATTGATTTCATCCTTTTGTTTCAGCAGGAAGAATCAACAGAAAAGAGAAGTGAAACAGGTAACAGCCGATGGTCTTTCGTCTGATATGTGGGCTTGGCGTAAGTACGGACAGAAACCCATTAAGGGATCATCTCATCCAAGGTAAAGCAACGATCTTTTGCAACAAGTTCATTATAACAATCTTGAAAGTCATATTTGAATAAATATGTACGAAGACCTAATTCTGGTTTAAAAACATGCAGGAGCTATTACAGGTGCAGCAGTTCCAAAGGATGTTTAGCAAGGAAACAAGTTGAAAGAAGCAGCACAGATCCAAGTATATTTATCATAACGTACAGTGCCGAGCACAACCACGGCCACCCAACACGGAGAAACTCCCTCGCAGGAAGCACCCGAAGCAAGTCTTCAACGCAAGGAACTCCGGCCAAGAATGAGCAAACAGATCAAGTACAATCAGGTCTTTCCCCAGTAACTCCTTCGCTGACATCCACTGAAGACGAGTCTGTACACCAGGAAAGCTTTAAAAAGGAGAATGAACACGTTTCTGAAGACGGAGAAGAAAACGAAATTGCCATGCCCGATTCAATTTTTAACGATGAATTTTTTTCAAGCCTGGAAGATTTAGGACTTTTATTGGATCAGTTTCCGGACACCTAATTATTTCACCAGATAAACCATAAGTGGCAGTATCTTGTAATTGGTCAAATTTGCAGTTTTGACACAGTAAATTACTTCTTTTTCTTGTTCCGTAACTTGGTTTTGTATAATTCATCATCCTCGTGACAAATTTATATCTTGTATTGTAGGCAATAGTTAATACTGAATGTCAAGAAAGTCGGTTCCAAGTTCATTGTTTTCCGAATACCGACAAAGATAGGTTTTCTTGCTGATCTTATTTTTAACAGAAGCTCCCACAAGGAATTAAGCAATTTAATTTGAATGGCTGGTATAATTGTCCTCAATAAACTTGGATTTTTTCTTTTTTCTTATTTAAATATTGATTTCTGCATACTTATTGCCCACGCCGACTCCCTAACTGTAAGCAAAAACGACAGCTAGCCAGTGTTATTTAATTAAATCCTGGATAAGCTTTAATTATCTACCTAACACCATGTTATACAATTAGCCATATATTTCCTGCAACCAGTCAAGTCATTGCCTTTCAACTTCAAGTGTTGTATCAAATATAATATCAATTTCATCTGCAAAAGGATGGAAATTTTTAAATTCAGGCTATACGTACAGGGATTGCAGTTATATTCTATTTTAGTTTGATGCCTATAACTTATTACATCACCGACAGAGACAAATGATAATTACATAAATTAATGAAGCGGAAAGGAACTGATGTTCCTCTGAAACCCAATCAGATGAATCCTTTCCCTTAATTTTTTACTAATATTATTATAAGTAATTATGTGTCTAGAAGTTCAACAGAGATAGGTCATAGGAGAAAGGAGAATCATAACTAGTTCATACTTGATCTTTCATTAGTGGTTTTTATTTTTTTTTAAAATATTATCCTTACATACACTTATACAAAGAGAGCTATAAAGTGACATCAGCCAGAAGAAAAAAATAAAGAAAAAATAAAAGAAGAGAAAGAGAGAGAGAAAGAAATCATGAAAATCAAGTGTGGAGATTGTCTTTGTATACCTCCTTTGTACATGTCTTTGTAAAACTAACATTGCTCTTTTCTTTTTTAATAAATAATTGAGATATTCAGGCATAAGTGTCAGCCGAGCCTACCTAATCTACAAACCCAATGAATCAAGGTAAGTACACAAATGTGATAAGTAACTCTCCCGCAACTTGAATACAAGACCTTTGGATATAATTAACCTCAATAGCTAAAGGGTTTGTCATTCAACAGAGCAAATATCAATTTGCCGATAATGTTTCTAGAACTGCAAAAACACTTATTTGAATTAAGTGCTTGAAATGGACAAAACACTATTAGTTGTAGAAAATTTATGTTAAGAAAAAATATTAATTATATATCATTAAATTTAAGAGAAAATATTAAATTAAAAGATATAAATGTCATAAACTAAAAAAAAAAGTTAAATACTTTGTTGATGCTTAATTTTTGACACCAACTATTCGCACGTGCAAAGTGCTAAGTTAACTTAGAAATTACACGTAAATAGAAAATGAAGAAGTATTTATGGTGCTGAAATGATATATGTTTGCAGAAACATAAATAAAAGATTGACAATAGAGGTTTTTATAGTGGTTTTGATGCTTAAAGTAAATCCTACATCCACTGTTATTTTATTATTCTTTGACTATTCCATGATATTGCCTATAAGGCATACAAAGATGGAGAAATACTTTGTTTACAGAGAAAAATAAGCTCTCATGTGTCTAGCTCTCATGTGTCTAACTCTCATATGTCTAACCTCTCCTTTTACGAAGAGAGGTGCCCATTTATACACATTTAAGGTTAATATAATGAGTGCTTTTGCAAGTTGTCTTGACACATGGAGAGTTCTCATTCATCCTTATTTTAAAATGAGATAGGGTTGGTATAAAATATCTTTGAGGCGGTATGGGCTTGATAGCTACTACACTTTGTCTTTTAGGCATTTGTTGAGCTGACATCAGTGTCCCCCTCTTCCCCCCCCCCCCCCCCCCCCCCCAGTTTTTGGAGTGCGTAATTGCACTTCAAAAACTCATTCCTTAGATCTGAATGATTGTCGCACTATAGGCTGTAGTCTCGAGCTAAAGAGCTCGAACTATGCCTGACGCAATCGGGTGCTGAAAGCTATGACTGCAATCTAAGCACGATCTGATAACAGACATAAAATTTTTAGTAGATAAATTGCTGACGTCAAAAGCCCAAAATGCACGGCTTAGAGGCCTTAAACGAACAAGCCAACTTAAAACAACCATAACTTTTGATCCAGGAGGAGTTTTGGAGCCTGAAAGATATCCACATAAAGCTCATTCCAAGCTCTACGTCTTAACAACTTGAAAACCTGGTTGGGGCCATTTCAGGGCCAAAATCCTTCGTTTTGGCATGTTTTGGGGCTGTTTTGAGTTTTCTACGTATTTTTTCTAATGCTGGCAACTAGTCGCAACTGAGAACTGAGAACTAATCGTGATCTGAGAGTTAAGAGCATGACCTGAGGCTATTCACAATCTCAGAGCTAAGAGTTGATCACAATTTGAGAGCTAGGAGTTGATCGCGATCTGATAGGAGCTCGACCTGAGAATCTAAGGCATGCGATCTAAACTATCTGATGCACACGATCTCAAGCAAATGAGCGAGCTTATGAGCTCAATCAGAGAGCATAAGGAGCTTGATCTGAGATCATAAGGAGCTCGATCTGAGAACTCAAAAGCTCTTTACGATCTAAGAGCTTGAGAGCTCTTTGCGATCTAAGAGTTTAAGGAGTTCAATAAAAAAAACAGAAGGAGTTTGATCAGAAAGCGCAAAGCTTCATCTGAGAACACAAGAAGTTCGATAAAAAAGTGCGAGGCTTGATCTGAGAACACAAGGAGTTCGATCAGAAAGCGCGAGGCTTGATCTGAGAACACAAGAAGTTCGATCAGAAAGCTCAAGGCTTGATTTGAGAACACAAGATGCTCGATTAGAAAGCGCAAGGCTTGATATGAGAACACAAGGAGTTCGATCAGAAAGCGCGAGGCTTAATCTGAGAACATAGGAAGTTCGATCAAAAAGCGCGAAGCTTGATTTGAGAACGTAAGATCAACGATTTAAGCGCGATCTAAATTATCTGAACGCGTGATCTCAACAATCTTGAACGAGCGATCTGAGAAATCGGATGTGTGCGATCTGACGACACGATCCGAGAGCTGAAAATTAGAGCGATATAATAATGCGATCTGTGATCTGACTACGCGATCTGAAGATGAAGATCAAAGCGATCTGAGTGTGCGATCTTCGATCTGGCCACGCGATATGAAGGTTAAGATCAGCGATCTATAGCTGAAGATCAAAGCAATTTGAGCATGCGATCTGGCCATGCGATCTGAAGCTAAAGATCAGCGATTTGTAGTTAAAGATTAGAACGATCTGAGCGTGCGATCTGCGATTTGACCACCAATCTAAAGCTAAAGATCAGAGCGATCTGAGCATGCGATCTTTGATTTGACCGTGCGATCTTTGATTTGACCACGCGATTTGAGAGCTCTGATGCATGTAATCTACAATCTAGCCACGCGATCTGAAGCTAAAAGATCAGAGAGATTTGAGTGTGCAATCTGCGATTTAAAGCTAAAGATTAGTGATCTGAAGCTGAAGATCAAAACAATCTAATGTGTGCGATCTGTGATCTGGCCACGCAATATGAGAGCTATAATGCGTGCGATCTGCGATCTAACCACGTGATCTGAGAGCTCTGATGCGGAACAAGCTTCAGTATTTTGACAGTAACTTGAGCTGTATATCTCGAATTTGGATGTTTCTTGGACCATTGGAAAGATAACTCGAAGGGCTACAACTCTTGTGTTTATCACATTGCCAGATTCAAACTTTATCCTGCTCGGATCTCCACATCAGATGACGTGAAGATTTTGAGGCTTGCTAGAAAAACATGGAGAGCTGATGTGAATCATGCCCTCTTTCTAGCGCCAAACTGTTGATGCTTGATTTTTTACACCAACTACTCGCACGTGCAAAATGTTAAGCTAACTTAAAAATTACACGTGAATAGAAAATGAAGAAGTGTTTATAGTGTTGAGATGATATATGTTTGCAAAAACATAAATAAAAGATTGACAAGAAAGGTTTTTACAATAGTTCGGATGCTTAAAGCAAATCCTACATCTACTGTTATTTTATTATTCTTTGACGATTTCCATGATATTGCCTGTAAGGCGTACAAAGATGGAGAAATACTTTGTTTATAGAGAAAAATAAGCTCTCATGTGTCTAACTTTCACATGTCTAACCTCTCCTTTTACGAAGAGAGGTGTTCATTTATACACCTTTGAGATCAATGTAATGAGTGATTTTGCAAGTTGCCTTGACACCTGGAGAGCTCTCATTCATCCTTATCTTAAATGAGATAGGGTTGGTATAAAATATCTTTGAGGCAGTATAGGCTTAATAGCACTTTGTCTTTTAGGCACTTGTTGAGCTGACATCAGTGTGACTTTTTTGGCACAACATACTTGTTAGGGTTAGATTCACCAAAAGGCAAAAGGTTATTCAGTTGCCTTTTTTTTTTTTTTTTTTATAAATGTTTACTAATTAATTATTATTATTATTTTAATTTATTTTTTTAATGATAGATATTTTTAAAATTATAAATAATTATCAAATATTACAAAATTGTCAAATAACATTTTTACCCTTATAAATGCTTACCTTTTTACATTGTTATTTCCCTTTAGTGTATTATTTTTTGAGTTTTCTAAAATTTTGTCCACAAATGATATTTGCACTTTTCAGTAGACTAATGCTACAAATACACACCACTTATATAAATTATTCCCTATAAACTTATACAACATCCCTGCATATTTGTCTTATAATTATTTAATTTATTTTACATATATATGTATCTTTATTTCTTCAACATTAGGACTTCCCATAACTTTACATATTACAACACTAGAGATTCTATGATCTCGATTTTTGTTAGTACTAACTATAAATATGTGGTTAAACCGTATGCACGGGACTGACGGGAGTGTTAACCCGCAAGAATTGCAAACATTCTTGTTCGGTTTGAGTTTGAGTTTGAGTAAGCAAAGCGGCCACAGAACCAACAAAAGCAGCATTCATGTAAGTGGTAGGTTCAGCGTGGGAGTAGTCTGATCTCGCATCATTAAAGTGATCATTTGAATCTGGGCCACCAACAATTGCACCTACATGAATATTTGGATTTGGTTTTCCAGAATTGTAATAGCGTGAGTAGCCGTCGTTACAATTTACTTTTCCTGGGAGAACTCGGATCGAGGGAATGGATGCACCTCTGTGGTGAACCTGCAATGGGAATTTGCTGCCGAAGCCTGCCATATATGACATCTTCATGGGGTTGTTTCCAAGAATGTAGTCTACCTGGAAACCATACATAAAGTAGAGACTTCTGTGAGCATTATAAAGTTCATCTGACCCTGCTATGTGTTCATATTGTTAACACTAACAGAGAGGTTAGATCTCTACCTGTGATTTTGCGAAGGCACCGATTTCAGAGGCAGATAAATGCACAGAACCACATTGGATTCCTCCAATAGGAGTTGCATTCAAGGTTTTGGAGTAGAAAAATAGCAGCATGGAAGAGCTTGTAACATATTGTAAATTACTGCTATCTCTAATATACAAAAGCCCACCTACAAACATGCCAGAAAAGTTTCTCATCAGAATTGATTTCTTTGAGCTGTGGGAAACCTTGTATATATATGATTAAACGATTTTGATAGTTATTAGAGAATTGAACCTGGAGTTGTTTTAATCTGCAGAGAGCTACTTCCTGGCATCAATGCACATACAAATGATTCCATGTCCGTCTTAAACTTAGACAAATCATTCATTCCACTGTAAAATTCCTGAACAGAAACTTTTATTACTTCCTTTACCAGTTTTCTTAAGGAAAAAGATAAAATTTTTATTATACCATGTGACTAAATATACCTTAGCTAGTAACATCTGAGCTCCAGCAAATTTATTGTCCCAACTAAACTCAGAAACTGCTTGACTCCATCCTTGGTTGCTCAAGACATAGGTCAAGTACGTCTCATCACCAGTTGCCTTGTATAGCCACGCCGCAGCCCATAATAATTCATCCTTATTCACGTTTGAGAAGCCATCAATATAGGAAGCTAATAGTGATCAAAAAGCTTAATTAACAAAAATTTTAACATGTAGTTTTCATCTTTACCTGATATCCTGAGTAAGAGCAGTAGAAAGGGCAAGAATCCTTGTAAGATCCCCTATATTTGTCCGCAAAGTCAAACAGCTGTGTACGTAACATCTTCAATATTAAGTTAGTGAAACGCATAATTAATTTTGGTGGGCATAAATGTAATGAAGCTGCAACTTTACCGATTTTGAATGACTTAAAAGACTGGAAGAGTAGTTGGAATCAACGGTTTTGAAAACAATTGAAGCAGCAGAAAGAGCAGCAGCAGCCTCAGCTGCTGCCTCAGAGCCTGGTGAATCAGAAGTTATCTTGTAAAGTGTTCTAGCAGTGTCCATGTCTTCTGGCCTCTCCCAACACTGGTGATCCGCATTTCCATCTCCCACCTATCAAAACGAATTCAAGTATAAACCTCAAATCAATTATGATCCTAATAAAAATAATCTATGAAGCATATAACAAAAAGGGAGATGAAAAGGACCTGAGTATACAGCGTGGTGGGCGAAGTATGAGCTCGCAGTATGAAGTTTGTGCCCCATCGAATTGCTCTACGTAGGTCGTCAAGCTGCTTGATTGAGGAGATCTCTTTTGAGTACTCAACGGCTGTCCAACTCAACAAGCTGACAGTAAATGCCATGGGCCATCCGAATTTGACATTATCTCCAGCATCATAATAGCCTCCTCTCAAATTAACCTGCCAAAAATTTGAACCCCAACTTAGCTATAAGCTATGAAATTCACTTCTGTCAAACTAACATAAATTAACTTAAATTATCAAGAAATGATTATTTATCACTTTCATAGTCTTTGTCTAACAAACCATCTAGAACTAGAAGCAGTTCATTTCATTAAGTAATTAACAGTTAATACATTATCAGGCTCGCCATCAGAGAGTGCAGAGTTTCCCCTCCACTCCACTCTCTGGCTTGCCGGCAACTTCCCTGAGCGTTGCCCTTCAAAAAACAGAATTGCTTTTTCAAGTGCATCTTTATAATCAAAAGCTGATGAGCACAACCCTTTATTTTCTATGGCTAGAACATTGTAACTAGCCAAGAGAAAAAATAAGGCCAGCCTAAAACATTCACCACCTCCCATAATTAACATGTAGCTCTCTATATAATTTCCCAGTTACATTAATTTGTGCTGGTTGGTATTTATAGAGATATAAGCTAGATATGCCCTTGGTTGGTGGTGTTATTACATTTACCATTAATATTATGTACAAGGAACAGCTTCATTATTTCTTTTTGGTATGACATGTTGAATTAGAATTAGATTCTTTGGTAAAGTTTACAATTTTGAAGCAAAAACTGTTATGGATATCAGGATGTTTTTGAGAATCTGATGAAGTGACATAGCCCGATGGGCTTTGCGTGAAGTTTTGAGTGACGGCAAGAGGATTCAAAAGTCAAATTAAGTGAGCTATCGCATACTGTTGCACGATCTAGGCTACAATAATTGAAGATTCTAAGATTTTGGAGGTTTTTCTAGAGGTGAAATTAGTGGATTAAGAGTGTTCAATTTGAGAGGAAGTAAGAGTTAAACCCCCGATAGAATGGTTCGGCGATCAAGAATGTTTGTTCAATTCATTAATTTATTGAGTTCGAACCATATTGTCTAAAAAATTAATGACTCCAAAGATTAATTGAGGTATGCATAAGCTAATTCGAATACTCCGATCATAAAATAATAATAAAAAAGATAAGGAAGAGTTGAGATTAGAATGCATCATACAAGAGATTTTCTTGAACGGGAAAATTGAAAAAAACTAGTTATATTAACTTATTCCATGTTCACACAAGGTTCGTGTCTTTTTTGTTCGGGTGGAACTCTTTATCCACACTAACAATTTCCTTCTATTTGTTAACGGGTTTTCCTCTTAAAACACTAAATAACCCCATCTTTTACTCGGTTTAATTAGTCCACTTTTGCACCAACTTATATTTTAATTCCATTTACAACACTTCTTCCTAACATACTCTAGCCCATCTCATATAATTTCTGAAATCTCAATTTAAATGACCATAAACCATCGTGAACTTATATGACGATTATAAGTTTATATATAGTTTGGTTTAATGCTTCAAAGGAGAACTCAAAGCAAGACTTCAATAGCAATTATTAAGGCTGGTCTTTTCTTTTCTTTGGATGAATAATTGTATGGAGAATCAGGAATGGTGGTTTTGCAATTGTGTCAACTCCCATATTCCAATCAGAATCCTAAATTAGCGCTAAGAAACATTCGTTGTCTTCACGTATTGCCTAAGGCATCTCCAACCCAACGCTAAAACACTAAAATGATGTAGAAAACGTGTTCCAACCCAATGCCAAACACTACACTAAATTGGTGTAAGTGAACAGTATCATGTTAAATTTGACATGACATTGTTCACTTACACTAACTTGATGTGGGACTGTTCATATACTATAAAATATATTTTATTTTCTTATTTTTGTTATTTGTATTTATGTTAATTTGATTATTATTTATATTAATATTTATAATAATAAATTCATAATAATTATATAATTCAAAAAATGATGAAAAATAAAAAAATGATCGTAATGTTGATACATCGATTGAGAATCAGATGGAAGCGTCAACTCTCGAAGTTAAAATTGTCACAGATGAAAATGTTCGATTTCAAAATTTTCTTGTTCGATATAAGACAAATCAAAGATACAGAGGCTCACCATGCTCTTCGAAATGCATTAATTGATCATTTGTAGGAAGAATATACTAATTCGAAAAATTAAATTACTATCAATATAGAATTTTACTTTTGTGCTATTATTATTTTTTTTTTTTGTGGTATTTTATATTAAATGTAATGTTTTTCTATATTAAATGTAATATTTATTTGATTAAATAAATACTTAATTTTATTAAATTAGTATAATTTTCAAAGTAATTATTAGTTAATAAAAATATCATTCCTAATATTTAATTAATATATATATATAAATAATTAGTGAAATAAATTAATTGTTAATTATTAATATATGGAGATGCAATAGTGAAATACACCAAAAATCACAATAATTTAATGTGAAACTTGCACTAATTAGGTATTTATGATTAGAGATGATCTTATAACCGTTCCAAGTGACTAACGCGTATGCAAGATGGTCCTACCTTTCAAAAACATTAAAAAATGAATAACGTACAAGATTTTTCTGAACTCTTTTTTATTGATTTCACATGCTCAAGGTCTTAAGCTGGCTGCATTTATAAATCTTTTCGTAGATGACATCCCATTTCCATGAGGAAGTTATCGAATAATGAAATAAGTATGCAACAGAGAATGCATGCCTTTTCTCTTTCGTCACAAGCCAACTCTTTAATTGGCAAACTGGGTTAGGTTTTTCTTTGAAGGTTTAATGGGAATGAATTTTGGTGCAGTAAAGTTCAATGGGATTCAATTATTTGATGTCATATGAATGAATGTGACATGGGTTTATGAGATATGACCATAAAGTTCTTCGCATATAGAGCAAAAGTAGTTCAAATTGGTTGTTTATTTTACAAGTTACTTGTACCAGCCCAAACACGCATCTATTGTGATATAATATCCAACACTGCTAAGACTTTGTCCAATATCGACTTTTGAAAAATGAGGCCAATTTTCAGTCAATTACATTGTTATAGTACATGCTCAAATATTATGAACATGGGATAGGAAAATCCCATATTTTAGTTTTGGAAAATATCAATGGTAATGAGATAATGAGCCCATTTCCGAGGTGATGATGTTGGGATGATAATGATATACGTGTGCTAATGGACCTCCATGGTAAAGGCTTTTGCGTAAAAGAATATGAATGCTGATGAACAGCATGTGCATTCTCATTAATTTAGCAATCTAATGCTAGAATTCATACAAAAGTACATGAAATCTTCCGGCAGGGCAGAGCATATAGGAATAGGAAGGACCAGGGCAATCGGATTCCCCTCCAACCAATTCAAAATTTGGTAAATGAATAGTTACATAACTTACATTATTATGCGCTGATATCTACTTGTAGCAAACACAGAAGAATTGAGTTGAATTGTTCATGCTTCATGTAGCAAACTTCTTATCAGTCTACCAAACCAGCACCAGCACAGACATAAATCTTGAAAACAATGCTCTTCTAGAGAAAACTGCATCTGGAACTATGCAACCCTAAGAAGACCTCTTAACTTTAAACCATAAAGAAGACTGTCTGCAATCCACTCCATAAGAATCTACAGGATAGGATGCTTATAACTGGAAGGTGCCTAATTCAAGACCGTGTCTTGTCAGAAGTATCTTACGTTCACCAACCCATTCCAACCGGTAAGAGAGGTCAAGATTATGAATCAATGATTTCAAGCTGTCCGCATAGCTCAAACTCTTTGTGGTCTCCTATAAAAAGAAGAAAGCAAATATTATGCTTCAGAAGGAACAGTAGGAGTGCTGTTTTTACATGGTTAATATAGTTAAAAGCATCTAAAGCAACTGATCAACTAGGAACAGGCTGTTTGCGAGTATTATAACACTATTTAATTATGCATATATATAATTACAGATTGTCTTTGCTGTTAAACAAGATTCTCCAATTTATTTGGGCAGATTGCTTGAAAATACTTCAATATTTCTACCTTATCTTTTTAATAAACAAAACCACCATGTCCAACCAGATACCATGCAGTTTTGTAAATATTATAGCTGAATTGTTCACCAGTGGCATAATTGAATCAAGGCCAACAAGACAGACCAGATAGGCAGATAGTATGCAGTTAATATCTAATGGATATGATTATTAACGCTACTGTCAACAAAAGAAAATTACCTGCAAACTGGCCTCTTTATCATGTCCCATTACGCTTGCCATTATGCTAGACCTAGAAGTATTCGGTGAGAATCCCTCCCATGGAGGGACAAATATAAGTTTGGTGCATTGAACTGGAACCAAGTTTCTGCTCAGTTTCTCCCACCATACAGTTCCCAATGACCACCATCTAATCATCAAACCATGCTCGGAAAAAGCAACCAGTCCCTGAGATTTGTCAGAGAAAGACACCATCAGACCAACAAATTGGAATTCATCCCTAGTCAACAGATATTAATGATTAACTCAGAAGCTTTTCACTATCCACAGTATCCATGACAAAGTTAACATGCAGAAGTTGATTGACAACATGGAATGAACTTCATATTTGACTAGCACAAGAATAATATCATACTTCGAATCGCAGAATGCATGTGCACATGAAAATGATCTCACAAGTTAACAAGAAGGTTGCTCATGGTATCAGAAAACGTGGTGTATTGGTGTTTAAGGGGCCTTAAACTAATTAGATGTACCTCTCCATCTGGTGAAAAGCTCAGTGCTGAAATCGCAGTAGTTACCATTGTTTCTGATGTTCCTGAAAGCAAACTTGGAAGTCCAGGAGGTCCACTTGCATCCAAGACTTTTAATTTTGTCACACTACATTGAAAATCAAAAATAGACTGAGTTCAAGCAATAATTACCTCTTTGGTTATCCCAAACGCAAGTTGCAAACAAGCAGGACAGTCAAAATAATTCAATGATATAACATTTGAACAAAACCAGATTCTAAAGGAAACCTTTTGATACCTTTGCACGTCATATATTCGAATGCTTGCATTCTTAATCTCTCCAATTGCATCCCCAACAGCCAATTTAGTTGATGTGTCATTCAGGGCTACCATAGGAAATACACGTACAACTTCCTTTAATGCTGTCATTGAACTTTGAAGGCAAGTTCTGCGCATGACTGAGTTTCCAGGGTCCATAGTTTGTAAAATGAAGTTAACCACCTGCAAATCTGTCCAAATGTCACATAAAGATTAAAGGTAAAATGTGATTTGAGTTCTTTAAATAATTTTCTCAGTATTGCAACCAAATTATAAAGATGAAAAGATGGTTCATCCAAAAACAAAAGGAAATGGAAGCAGATAAAAATTTTGGGGAACGAAGCAAATCAATGCCCATATTGTATGGAAATACACAAGAAAACTACTAATAGGATGAATTAAAAAAAAAAAAAAAAAAAAAAAAAAAGAAAGAAAGGCAAATTGATTAAAAACAAGAATCCTATGGACAAACTGACCTTCTTCAAGGTACTGAAACATATTTTTTCATATTTATTTTATATCAAGGGCTGACAAGGAGTTGCTTAAATGAATTAGCTCTACTGACCTTATCAAGGTACTGAGCTAAGCTTCTTGGAGAACCACGCACAACCCTGACAACAGTCATGAGAGATACCAGGTGAACAGGTGAATCAGATGCGGTAGACCAGATTTGGCTTTCTACTACATTAAAAAAACCTAGAATATCAGCCATTGCCAGACTTGGAAGAAGAGTTCCAACCAAGGTCTCCCGAATTGATCCTGGTACAGCTGGATGTTCTGCAGATGAGTTAACTGATGGACTACTTACACACTCTATCTGGAAGAATATATCTCCAATTAGATGAGGTATTTCAGAAACAATGCATGTCTTCCATGTACTCTCCATACCTTCTGCAAGCAGCTCTGCTGCAGTGGAACTATATTTCTCATTCATTGCCATAACCAGCTTCATCAATGGATGTACAACCAGCATGGCAAGAGTTGGCTTCACAAGGCTAGGGTACCAAATAGCCAATGCTGCTGCAACGATGATATGAGAAGTCATTGCATCTTGACTTGTTCCTCCAACGCAAGAAATCCAATCTTGCACTTCATATGATTCCAGCCATGCAAGTGATTTAGATTCCTCAACCTGAGAAATCCTTTGTGATTCCGGCGTCAATTCAGAATCTGATCCATTAGTAGATGTTACTTCTCTGTTTGATATATAATGTTCATCATCTCCAGCTGTAGACAGAGACCTCACAAGTTTTGCATCACCAGCTGCTTTTAGACTACGAAGCGGGAGAGGAACTGCTCGAGAGGCAGCACAGTGGAATAAAGAGCGTGCAGCCATACGTACATGTTCGCTTTCATCTTGCCAGAAACTCACAAAGAGCTGTAAAACAGAGAAGCAAACAGTGGCAACAAATAAACTAGAGTTAAACCACAACTAATGTTGTTGTAGATTACAAAAACAATCAAGCATGAAATAAGTTTCTGACTTTAGTTAGGTCATAGAACAAAGACATCACTAGAACAAGATGCAACCTGAAGTAATGGCGGCTTTATTTCAGGAAATTTTTCAGCAAAATTACGAGTGTAGAAGGCTGCTAACGCACTGCAAAAACCAATCAGAAAAAAATGTCAGCAATATTTGTGATAAAGGGGTACATGATTTTAGTCAATGGAAAAGACCAGGAATGCTCATTCTGCAAACATCTTAAAACCTGCTAGCTGCAGAACTGGAGTGAGACAAGCTAATCATACGTTGAGCAAGGGATACCATAGTCAATGACCTCATTGCACAAAACTCTGATGATGATTTCCAAAGCTGAAATGTCAATCAAAATCTCAGGGAAGGTTGAAGTTTAAGTCAAACAAGAAAACAAATCCACTATTCAAAAAGATTTATCCAAAGTACCTCAAGAATAGCTCTCAAACCAGGAAAAGTCAATGTTAAAGACCCCTTTTCACCTTGCAAACCAGCTGCTACAATAAAGTTTTCTGGTCTCTTAAGCTTCATGTCATTTATTAGCAACTTATCAAGTTCCCTATCTGCATTCCACAAATGCAAAAATGACAAGCTAAAACGAAGCATGTATTCATCAAGTGACCTAATCCAGGCATGTTCTTCTGTGGTTACGGTTGACGAACCGCGCATATCAGAACCATCATCACTACTATGGTGGGGGCTTGGTGTCCCAGTTTCCTGTTCCTTCACATTTACAAATTCTTGCTTATCTATATTCTTCGTGGTGGACTGATGATTCTGATAAGGAAACATGAATGACGCAAGATCAAAGCTCAAAGCAGCAATTCCAGGATATGGGGAAGAGCACTTGATGAGTTGCTTTTTCCTTTGACGAACAAAGGGTACATTTGCAGATACTTTTCCTGAATTTCCTTTGGTAACATGTGCTTGGGAAGTATTGGACTCAGTTATTTTAGACGAAGTGATTCCTCTCTCATTTTCATGTATTGGAAGAAGTAAAGATGAAACTGAGGTATTCCCGTTCAACACAGAGCCAGAAACTGAATTCATACTGATGCCTTTACAGAAATGATCGAACATTGAATGAGAAGCTGTTCCACGAAGGACTCGCTCTCGAGCACCTGTCTTTACATCCCATATGTATAAAACATCAATAGCTTCAGATGTTCTTGAATGATCCCGACAAAGGCAAGCAATATAACCTCTTGGACCATCCCAAACAACTTTTGCAGGGTAATTTGGGTGTCCAGGAAACATTCTCTCCACCCGCAAAGTCTCAAGAGAAGCAAGAGCAACGCAAAAGTCCTCACTGACAGACAGGAAGCAGTCACTCCATGGATGTTCAGTTCGTGGAGGGCAAAAAATTATTTGGCGAACTCGAGACACATGGTGGTGCATGACTGTGATAAGATTGCCGGTCCCAAGATCCCATATACGAATCGTGCAATCTGTACTTCCAGAAACAAGAACCTGATTGAAACTCCATCCTTTGGCACTGCCCACCAGCCGATGTGCAGCCAAACATAGCACAGCCCCTGAGTGTCCTGACAAACTTTGCCTGGATACAGGTGAATCCACTCCTTGGCGAGGACTTGTAGCAGGTGAATCAAGTCCCTCAAAGTAATCAAATTGTACAATTTCTATCTCACCACTACAGAAGCCATAAACAATAGCATAAGGAGCATATAAATTTTCAGAAATAACCATAGAAGAAGATACAACCTTTTCCTTAGACACAAAACCATCACTTCCACCATCCACTGGTCTATTATATGCATTTTCGTCACAAGGACCACTATTTTGCCAAGAAGTTAAATTAGTTTTCTCACTGCCAAAGCCCTCGTTTTCACTAAGCAAAGTAGACTTAGAAATCCAGTCAATAAAAGAAATGCCTTTCCCAACCATTCTACTCTGAGGGCAGAGCTTTCCATAGCCATCATGTTTCTGATGTAGGGACCAAACTGTGACATGTGGTCTCCACTGTGAAAGTTCTTCAGCATGAAAGCAAACGGATTCAATACGTAGAAGGTAAAGGTTAATTTGAATGAAACAAATGGAATATCTGACATCAGAGGGATAGGAAACAGCTGGGATCTCACAATGAAGATCACACTTAAATTTGTCAATCATATATGATATGACGTACACAACTACAAATCCTCTATTATTCCACACAGCAAAATATTCCAAAAATGATTCGTGGGCTTCTTTGGTATCCACAGTTTTCTCAGCATCACCACTTTCAAGAAACATGCACCCTATAACATATGAGTGAGCAGAATCACCTACAAGACAAAAGTGACTGTCCACAAAAGAAATCTCCCCAATTGTACTGCCACTTTCCAACAGCCTAAATATGCAGAGATCTTTAAATACAAGAGCAATAATATTCCCACAGGTTGCAACTGACACAAGCCGTCCTCCCTCAACAACCCCATCTGCCCAAGCAGCCATATCCAACTGTGAAGAACTTTTATGCAATCCAGTCCCCCCCTCCCCATCTGGTTGGGACTCCTTTGATATTGGAACCAATTGCAACCTACCAAATGAATCAACCATGAGTGCAGAATGCTTCTCCCTGTCCTCACCCACTGAAACTACAGCCATAAACTTCAAATTACATATAGATAAATTGCCATGAAAAACAGTTTGAACTATGGTAAGTCCATATGTATCAACAATAACCACGGCACACTTAGGTGGTTTCCTATTTTGAACCTCGTCCCCTTCAACTGAATCAAAAGAATGATGGTCAGATAATCGACTAGCATCGTCAAAACAACATCCAATACATACATATCGTGGGGTCAAGGGCAGTGTGCAAACAATTGATGGACTGCCAACCCAGGGGGGTAGTTTTCTTCTACGTCTACAATGTCCACTGCTTCTGCTCCACACACACAACCCACCATCAGCACACGCACTTATTAATGCACCATTATCTAAACAAGAGTTTGCCGCAACATTACTTGAATCTTCTCCTGGAACTACAGTAGGATAACAAATACCAAGATCGGCTATTGGCGCAGCATGCCCACACAACATAGCAACCGGTTTAATTTCCTTCAATTAAAACAAATAATAATAAATAATCAAACTTTGACAAAACATTCAGTTAACACTTCTCATTCAGAAAAACTAACAAACATGTGGGAAGCACATAAAATAATACAATTTATATATAGAAAGACAAATAGTTATGTAAGGGAGTGAGTTCAATTACCAAGTTGGAATTGGAGTCGTCGGAGGAGACGGCCCACCAGAAGATGGAGCCATCGGATCCACCAGTGTAAAGAGTCGGGGGTTGAGTGAGTGCTGCGGTGGCTGTGACTCGATGAGCCAGAGGCGTGCCCGACCAAATGCACGCCACGGATCGGCACTTCATGGCCGGAACTCGTTAGCACATGTAACTCAGGACCAGAGTTGCAGTGAGTGACTTAGTATGGCCGAATTATGTTCTGATCAGCGGTTAAAAGTTACCTGACTTAGTAATTGTGCCGTTAATTACTATAGGGATGTAAATGGGCAGGTTGGCTTGAATACTAAAAAGACCCACCTACCTCTTTTACGGATACCCAAATCCGTTATTTTCAATAGGAAAACTTTGGATAATCACATTTGATCAATTTTTATATTGGCCGAACGATTTGCCATATAACCAATTTGGTACCCAAAAGGTTTGAAAATAACAATTACCCACTTTCTGTCTAAATTTATTAGTAAAATCCCTTTAACTGCAGACAATATGATAATTTTATATCTATTAATTTTAAATTAATCCATAAATCTCTAAATTTTTTTATCCTGTTTTTTTATTTCATTTTTTCTCTTCTTCTTCATCTCTCCCTTCTCTTTCTTTCGTTTTCTCCGTCTTTTCCCTCCTCCCCTTCTCTTTTTTTACTTTTCTTCCTCCCTCTTTCCCCTTCTCTTTCTTTCCTTTCTTCTCCGTCTTTTCCCTCCTCCCCTTCTCTTTTTTCCTTTTCTTCTCCCTCTTTTCCCTTTGGTCGCCAGGCAAGAACCAGTCTTTTCCTCTTCAGTTTTTTAATTTTTAATTTTTTTCAAATTTTTATAATTTTTTACAGTTTGGGTTAGAAGTGTTTGAAATTTGTGGTGGTTTGTGGCGGTGGTGATGTTGTTATGTAGTGGTCTTTTCCTCTTCAGTTTTTTAATTTTAATTTTTTTCAAATTTTTATAATTTTTTAGGACATCTCCAACCCACATTTTGGCGTAAAAAACATCAAATTAACCCACGCCAAACACTGCACCATTTGGTCGTGGTGCTACAGTGCTGCATCAAATTAACACTGTAGCACAAATAAAAAAATATATTTTTTAAATTTTGCTTTTTTTGTTTTTTGTTTTAATTTATTAAGTTAATTTGAGTATTAAATTTTACACCAAAAATCACACTAATTGAGTATTTGTATTTAATTAATTTGATTATTATTTATAATAATAATTTATAAAAATGCTTAATTTGAGTATTTGTATGACAACACTTTTTTTTTTGAATAAGCCACGAATCTCAAAAGCTTGAATGACAACACATCTTTTTAATAAGTCACAAATCTCAAAAGCTTGAATGGATAAACATCTTTTTTGAATAAGTCACAAATCTCAAAAGCTTGAATGGACAACATTCTTTTTGAATAAGCCACAATCTCAAAACTTTAATGGACAACACATCTTTTTGAATGAGCCACAAATCTCAAAAGCTTGAATGGACAACACATCTTTTTGAATGAGCCACAAATCTCAAAACTTGAATGGACAACACATCTTTTTGAATAAGCCACATATCTCAAAAGCTTGAATGGACAATACATCTTTTTGAATAAGTCCAAATCTCAAAAGCTTGAATGGACAATACATCTTTTTGAATAAGTCACAATCTCAAAAGCTTGAATGGACAATACATCTTTTTTAATAAGTCACAAATCTCAAAAGCTTGAATGGACAATACATCTTTTTGAATTATTATTTTTTATCTAGAATAGTGTTTTCTTCAACTATAAAACCTCGCAGATCAACTTCCAAATCTTCAACTAATATATCTACAAGAGAATTTCAATTTTAGAGGTCCATCTCATTATCATCTCTAATTCACTCATCTTTCCGACAATGAAATTGATGATGGAATTGATGAATGATCTTGAAGCAATTGATGCAGGGCAAGAAGCATCCTTCGCATGAGAGCTAACAACACCTCCTCCTCCTTCACTATCTCAATCATAGAACAACCAGTTGATTCGTAGAGGATCATTCCTGGTCATAGAGTCATCAATCTCAACCGGGACATTGCTGATCACAATTTGTTCAAAGATTATTTTGCCGAGAATCCACGGTTTAATGATTCCTGTTTCGCCGACGATTTCGAATGTCTCGCAATTTATCATTCGTATTGTTGATCAGGTGAATGGTCATGATAACACTTTGTCAAACGAAGGGATGGGCTCGGTAGGCTCAGATTGTCTGCTTTTCAAAAAATAACAGCAGTATTCCGGAGTTTGGCGTATGGTCTATCGATAGATGCTACTAATGAGATATTAAAATAGGGGAGTCTACGACCATGAAGTTTGAGAGATTTTGTCGTGCTGTTGTTGAGGTATTTGCAAAACGATATCTAAGATCACCTAATGCTAATAGTGTTGCAAGGCTACTTCATATTGGTGAACAACGTGGTTTTCCAGGAATTTGGGTAGTTTAGATTGTATGCACTAAGTGGAAAAATTGTCCAACAGCTTGGGCAGGAAAATATGCTGGTCTTAGTGGATCCCCAACTATTATCTCGAGGCTATAGCTGATTATGATCTTGGATATGGCATGCATTTTTTGGTTTGCCAGGTTCCAACAATGACATTAATGTGTTGGAGGCATCTCATTTGTTTCCAACCTAACTCAAGTATTGCTCCTCCGCCTCATTATAGCATTCAAGGAAAGAATTATAATAGGGGTTATTATTTAGCTGATGGTATATACCCAAAGTGGTCAACTCTCGTACAAACTATTCACGATCCACGTGTCCCAAAAAAAATTATTTGCATGAAACAGGAAGGATGTAGAAAAGATGTGGAACGTGCGTTTGGAGTTCTCCAATCGCAATTTGCAATTGGCAGACCGACACGTTTTTGGGATAAAATGTTATTACATGATATATGACTGCGTGTATTATTATGCACAACATGATAATCGAGTATGAACGTAATGTTGATGCATCGATTGAGAATCAGAGGGAAGCGCCAACTCCTAAGTTGAAATTGTCGTGATGAGAATGTCCGATTTCAAAATTTATTGCTCGACATAAACAAATCAAGAATACAGAGGCTCACCATGCTCTTCGAAATGCATTAATTGATCATTTGTGGGAAGAATATGCTATTCGGAAATTAAATTACTATCAATTAGAATTTACCTTTGTTTGTGTTTTTTTTTTTTTTTTTCATTTTATATTAGATGTAATGTTTTCTATATTAAATGTTGTTTATTTGATTAAATAAATGCTTAATTTTATTAAAGTAAATTTTTAAAATAATTATTATTAATAAAATATCATCCCAATATTAATTAATATATCACAAATAATGAGTGAAATAGTTAATTGTTGATTATTATAAAAAAAAAAAGAACATTCAAAGATATTCTTTTTGGTGTAATATTTGGTGTTGTGGTTGGAGATGGTACAATTTGGATTGGAGTGTTTGAAATTTGTGGTGGTTTGTGGCGGTGGTGATGCTTGTATTGGTGGTTCTGGTGGCGAGTTTGGACTAATAGAGTCCCGACGAACAAGAACATTTCATTTTTCTTTTTCATAGATTTCAACATGGTTTGATTTTGAATTTTTTTTTTTTTTCTTACGTGATTGTTTAGGTTAGATGTAATGAATTTGATTAGGAAGTTAAGATGGAAATGAATTTTGCATGTGGTGTTAAGATGGAGATGAATTTCAATTGTGTTTTATTATGGGAGGTGATTTTTTCTGGCGAATCTGTGAATTTGGGAAACAGGAAAGAAAGGAAAAAAGAGAAGGGGAGGAGGGAAAAGACGGAGAAGAAAGGAAAGAAAGTGAAGGGAAGAGTGAAGAAAGTAAAAAAGTTAAGGAAGAGGGAAAGGACGGAGCAAAGAAAGAAGAGAAAGGAGAGATAACGAGAAAGAGAGAAGAGAAAGAAAAATGAAATGAAAAAAATATGGATTTATAGATTAATTTAAAATTATAATATAAAATTACTATATGGTCCTTAGTTACACAGACTTTACTAATAGATTTGGACAGAAAGTGGTAATTGTTATTTTTAAACATTTTGGGTACCAAATTGTCTTTATGACAAACTATAGCTGATTGCAGGGGCGGACCCAGGCCATTTGAGAGTAGGCCTGGCCTACCCTCAAATGAGTAAATAAAATTTTAAAATTTTTACTTTTATTTTTTGGATACCCAAATCATGAGTGTGAAGAATCCAAGAACAGAGGGCATTTTCATTTTTCACTACCATATTTTATGCAACAAAAGCCACCGCAACTTTAATGATACAAAAACGCCTCTGCAATACACCATCTCTTCCTCTTAACCATAAGCTTTTGCAGAAATAATTTAAGTACTCATTCCTAACATGATGTCCTTTGAAATTTAGTAAAAATTCAACTTTGATAATAATTCTCCTGAAGTTTTACAGTTATCATAAAGTTCTCCTAAAATTCATCAAGAGTAAACTTTATAAATTAATCAAAACCCACTTCTACAAATGACCTTTACCAATTTTCTGAAATAAAAAAAAAAGGCAAAAACTTTACAGATATTGAAAGAATAATCATTATTTCAAAACCAATAATTGTCAATTTTGTGCAACTATACAAGACCTACCTTTGAACACAACTCACGCTCGCTCTTCTCTTCAACTTCAACCTCTAATTCTAAGGTATTCGCTCTTTTCAATTGTTTTTTGCATGTTTGGTTACCGAGAAAATGAGGTTGATTTCCACTTTTTTCTTTTAATGTGTTATTTTATTTTATTTTATTTTGTGCTCTGAATTCTTAGTTATTTTTCGTTTAACTGTGTTTTCTTGATGAAAAATGAGGCAAAGTTTTGTTCATTATTTTTTTTTTTTTACTGTCTTTATCTTTCTTAGTTTTCTCTAAATTCTATAGTTTTTATTTTATTTTATTAAGCTATTTTTAGTATGTTAGGTTGATGAGAAATGATGCTAAGTTTTGTTCATTTTTTTGACAGTTTTTTTGTTTTGTACTTTGTTCTGATGCATGGTTTGTTTATTTTATTTATTAAGGTGTTTTTAGTCGGTAGATTGATGAGAAAATGAGGCAAACTTTATGGTTTTTTTACCTCCTTTTCGTTAGTAATATTGCTCTAATTCAAATTTTTTTATTTAAGTATATTTTTTGTAGTATGTTTGACTGACGAGTAAATGAGACAAATTTTTTGCTAAATTTTTAATCTCGATGGTTGAGTTTTGTTTTAATAGTTGGATTTGGATTTAAAGCTTAAAGTTTGACTGCTTCTCTGTGATTTTAATTATTTCTTTATAACATTTATGTATTTTACTTGTGTTAGAATTGTGATTGGACTTTAAATTTGTATGGAATATTTTTGGTAGACTGTGAACTTTTTTTATTATATTAGATTTAAGTGAATTGTTAGTTATTGTGATTTTTTGCTCTCTTCGCTTTAAGAGGTTTTTCCACATCAAAATTTTCTTGTGTTTCCTTGTGATTTGATGTGATTTTACATATTTGCTTTCAAGGTTTTATTTCTCGTAGATTTATTTAAGTAGGAAAGTAATGTGTTATTGCATCATTTTCTTTCAGCTTCTTGATATTGTATTATTTTCTTTGCTTAAGGTTTAATGTGTTTTTTTAAGTTTTCAATAGTGTAACAAACAACGGCGGAGCCGCGGAGGCCCCCCCTCAACAAAATCCTGGGTCCGCCACTGGCTGATTGCATGCCGTTCAGCCTTTTTAATATACATAAAAAATTAAATCTAACACATTATATATACTTTTCTTTGAATAAATTAATCAAAATTATAAAAATAATTTTAATGTCAATATAAAATTTATATTTAAAGTTTAATAATTCCATCACAAAATTATTCAAACAAATTGTGAACAAAAAAAGTAAACAATATCGAATATTATTATAAATTTGATTCAATAATATAATTATTTATTTATATATTATATATTTTTCGAGCGATGGAGTGATTAAAGTACATTCCCATGCCGAAAACCTGACTAATAAAACAATGTTTTACTATCCAAATTCAACCTTTAGGGGATATAAATATTTTCTTAATTTTAGAATAAACAATAATACTTAATAAGACAATTTTAAGTAAAAATTAAGTTATTAACACCTATTTCAAATATTAAAATAAATGATAATTATTTGAATTCCTAAAATATAAATTATTATCATCATTTATGTAGAATTTATATTTATTTATTTATTTATTTGATAATCTTGTTGAATATGAGAAACTCATAAAAATAATATTAAAACAATTAATTTATAAAGCAAATAAATGAAAATTCCTATATTTAACAGTTGAACACATGAAAAACGTTTGGTGGGAACCGAGGAGTCCCAACGCAGCTCTTATTCAAATCAAGCCAAAGGCTTTTCAGGTATACAAATAATAAATAGAGTAAACGACATACTGCCACCCAAGGTTTGACGAATCCCCATTGGTACCATAGGTTCCATTTATTCTAGATTCCCACCCTTAAAATAACACGTTAACATTTTTTAGATGTAAGGATGCAATTACCATATGCCTTTTAATCCTAAATTATAATTATATGTTAACCCCTAAATTACTAAAATTACTAAAATTATAAATTAACCATTTATTTTAAAATTACATCAATTACACCCTCATGACTGTGCAACGTCTCGGTTTTCACTGGATCTAGGCTATTTTCAATGCCGGCAAAACCCCTGGTCACCTCCATCACCTTCCCCATCATCTGTCGTCCAAAACCCCTCTGTTTCCCGACTCATTGGGCCCTTCGTCGCCGTGCCGTCAAGCTTAGGTTTTCGTCCTTCTTCGCCAGATTCCAATCGATTCCGACGACAAAAATCTAATTCGACATCACCACTGCAACCAGCGTCTCCTACCTACAAAACCCTTATGTCCCAGCAATCGTTTAGTGGCCATTCGTCGGTGGACACCGACGAAAACCAGTCGCATGTGGGCGTTGTCATGGCTGGAGATCGGCGGGCATGAGAAGTTGTCACAGGTATGGTTTTGTAGAGGGAAGAATGAGGGTTCGAATGGTGGTGACAAGGGTGATTTTGGGTGGAAGAATTGCCAGAAAAGAGCGAAAAACGATGTGGCAATGTTGCTACGTGCGTCGGATTTTTGTAAGGGCGGCGATCTGCTAATGTGCACCTCCTCTATGAAATGACCAATTTACCTCTGAGTTTTTATATCTAACCATTTCTCGTTACTTTAAGGGTGAAAATCTGGAATAAATGAAACCTGTGGTACCAACTGAGATTTCGTCAAACCTTGGGTGGACATGTCGTTTACTCTAATAAATAAATACAAATACATAAAGTTATAATCATAGGCTTTTAGCTTCAGGCTTACTCTGTGGATCTATTATTGAAGCTTTTTTGATGGGTTTCCGTGATTGTGATCGTCTTTATCCTTAAAGCACGAGAGTGAACAGTAAGAATGGCCAGTGATTTCGCCAAGAAGGCTGAAGAAGCATTCTTTGATGACGACTTTGGACTTGCCGTTGACTACTATACTAAAGCCATTGACCTCAATCCCAAGAGCGCAGATCTTTTCGCCGACCGAGCTCAAGCCCAAACTAAACTTAACAGCTTCATTGGTAACATTTCCTTTTGTGTTTTTGTTTTATCTTTGCTAAAAGTTGATACTTTCACGTGGACTTGTTGATTAATGGGAGTTAATTTTGAGCAGAGGCTGTTGCTGATGCAAATAAAGCTATTGAGCTGGACCCAACAATGGCCAAGGCATATTTGCGTAAGGGGTGCGTGCTTTTGTGCTCTTGTGGCTTAATTAACTGTTAATTTATTGAAATTGTTATTAGGTTGTTGTATTACATGTAACTTCCGGGAATACTTGATTAGATTTGGTGATTCATCCTTGTTTTTTTGTTCGTTTTGGAAGTATAAGAAACGCACATTGTTGTTGGGTTACTGTCAATCATTGTTTTGCAAGTTGTCTACGTGGTTCTATCTTTGGACTTAGAACATGCTTTACAGATATCATTGCAATTTTGTGGGAAATATTATCAATTGCTTGATAATACTGATTTGGTGAAGTTTGCATTTTACTTGACAGCGCTGCCTTTATGAAGCTTGGAAAATATGGTAGTGCTAACGCAGCTCTTGAAAAAGGTTCCTCTTTGGCACAAAATGATTCAAGATTTACCAGGTTGATTGAAGAATGTGATAAGCATATGGCAGGTTTATACTTGTTCGGATGCTCTTTGGGATGTTTATTTAACTAATATTTTACATGTTCTTTAAAAGAAGTCTGATTGATATGTCTATAATCTGCTATATTGATGGAATTTGGATGCTTGTACAGTGACCACTATTCAGGCTAAGCCCTCGACATCAAATTTGCCTCCAAGCACCTCATCTGTTTTGGAGCCAATGTCATCAGTCGGACCAAAATACAGGTTTTTTTACTGTTCCTTTCTCTTAGTTTGTGTTTCTTTTCTTGTGAAGTCTGCATTTCTATGGTTGGTAACCTTCTCTCAGACATTAGTAATCTACTACTACAACTAGATCTTAATGTTTTGAAATGCATGTACTTATTATATTTATCTTTACTGTCATATTAAGATATCTGAAAATTGGTTATTTTACAGACATGAATACTACCAGAAGCCCGAGCAAATTGTTTTGACTGTATTTGCAAAGGGGATACCAGCAAAACATGTAGCTGTTGATTTTGGGGAACAAATTGTATGTCTATTTTCTGATTTCTTGTTCTAGTTATCCTTTTTTAACTTTCTTGATGCTTCTAGTTCTATTCTGTTTGAATAATCAGGTGGCTCTTAGTTTCTCTTTGAATAATTGATGGAGCTTATTTTAATTCAATGTGCATTTATTCTTGCAGTTGAGCGTTACTATTGATGTCCCTGGTGAAGATGCTTATCATTTTCAACCTAGATTGTTCGGAAAGGTATTTATATTGTATCTTCATGATGCCGGGTTATTGCTTCATTATCTTCTTGGTTGAATTGTGTGTGTATTTCTCTTGAATGTACAATCATGCTATACAGATTCTTAAATGTTCCTGCCATGAATAGTTGTCATTCTCCTGTTCTCCGAATTATCTTAGGCTCATGTTGGCTTTTGGCTCCAGTGTAATTTTTCCACCTTTATGTGTATAGGAAGATGCTGTCTTTTCTTTATTGTGTATTATATTACCTTTTGCTCCATTTGACTATTTCCCTCGCACTATGAGATTGTTGATATGCACAGGTCTACTGCACTCTTTAAAAAAGATTTATCGGACTAGATTTATCTTAGTTGTTCTTGTATGATTAAACCCCTGCGTTTGCTTTGTGGAAAAAAAAACAGATAATACCTGAGAAGTGCAATTATGAAGTAATGTCAACCAAAGTTGAAATCCATCTGGCAAAAGCTGAACCAATTACCTGGCCATCCCTTGAATATAGGAAGGAAATTACTATTATTCAGAAAGCTAATGTACCTTCAGGTAAGGCCACACACTCTCATGAATGAATGACTATCATCGTTATACATGGGTCATTGAACTTCATGAACCTTAAATTTTTTTGTTGTGGTGATACATACCTTATAATCCATATTATCTAGTTGATAAGATACAACAATTCTTTTCTTGATGGTTGCTTCTCGTTTGTGAATTTGCAGTTGTGTCTCAGAGGCCCACATACCCCTCTTCAAAATCAAAAACAATAGACTGGGACAAGCTGGAATCACAAGTGAAGAAGGAGGTGATTTGGCAACTGCTAGAATTATATTGCGAGTATTCATATATAAGATGATTCACAAGCAGAGCAGGAAAAAGAAAATTTAATTTACAACAAAAAAACAAACAAATTACTATCTGAAATAATACCCTTGAAAGCAAATAATTCTTCATTTAAGGTTTTAACACAATGACAATGGCTTGAATTTCAGGAAAAAGATGAGAAACTGGATGGCGATGCTGGATTGAATAAACTTTTCCGAGATATTTACCAAAATGCAGATGAAGACATGAGAAGAGCTATGACAAAATCTTTTGTAAGTCTCCCCCATTCATTTGTGTTTCCTGTTTTCTAGTAGTATTAAAGTCATTTGGCTCGAGAACAGTCCCCTTACAAAGTAATGTTGCACGAAATCACTTTTTATAAAAGTAGAAAGGTTGAATGTCATGGCAATATAAGAGTAATGCCACACTACTTTGTATGAAAATCTTTGTATGCATACTTTATATAGGTAGTATTATTCATAGCATGGTGTTCTTGACTCACGCTGGCTAATAACTCAATTCACCTTGGCCAACTTGTTGCTGATCAGATGTGCTATCACCCTCTGTATCTTATTTTAATCAAGCCCAATTCCCAAACAAAATTTGATCAGTTCATAATTTTACCACATTTTTCCTTTGTGGGATTTGTTGTGTTTGAATTCCATGGATACTAAATCTCAGTAAAATTTTGCAATGTTACAGTATGAGTCAAATGGGACAGTGCTTTCAACAGACTGGAAAGATGTGGGTTCAAAGAAGATTGAAGGTAGTCCACCTGACGGTATGGAGATGAAGAAATGGTAGTACTAATAGGTGCCGTTGCGCCAAGTCAATTTTTTTTTTTTTTTTTTTTGAATTAAATTTTGGTGTGCTTGGGATTCATCATAATTTGTTGTTTTGGTAATTAATTTGACTGCAATTTGCCAGTGGATTACATTTTATGAAAAATTACGCTTCTGCCTTTTTGTTTTCCTTTACTAGTGATAACAAAGATTTGTCCAAATGATCTCTTCTCTTTACTGTGATGTCTTGGCAATGGTGTGAATAAATGGTCTTTTACTAATGTCAAATGGACGACTGGCTCACCATCAGGTTTACTGGATCATGATTTATTGAAGGGTTAATTATATCTAATCAGGGTTCAGAAACCATTTTTCAAGTCGCAGAAAATTCAAATATTTTAACAAAATAGCCAACCTCCTATCCAAGAAAGAAAAACACATTCAAGCCACGAAACACACCTCTTATAATACTTAGAGATCAAAGAAAAGGGGAATAACACATGCTTAAGAGCTGTAATTGAATCCAAAAAGAGGAGCCCCATGGGATATATACATATGATATAACAACGTAGCTGCAACTAGTGAAGATCCACATTCCACACCATAATTAACTAATTAGATTAACCCCTATATGTTATATCAGAATATAAACCGTTAATAAACATGGCAAGTAAATTAAAACCAGTCACAAACTAATTAGTGGCTTTACATAGTGACCGTGTGAAGCAAAAATGGCCATACCATATACATATATTGATGTATACAGCCTTCTGATGTCAACCCTTCACAACATTACAAGCCAGACGCATTAATTCATCCCCAGATCGGGTTCAGTATTTGGATTATTTTGCATTTGAGGAATATGAGCTCTCCTACTATTTGAAAGATACCCTTGCAGGTGTGGCGCAGCAGTAGACAGGGAAGACCCTCGCAGGTGTGGTGGAGCAGTAGACAGGGAAGACCCTTGCAGGTGTGGTGCAGAAGACCCTTGCAGGTGGGGCCGAGCAGTGGACTGGGAAGTTGGATTGGAAAGTGGCCTCGCTACTTGAGTTGGTTGGGTTGGCTGAATCATGAACTGGCTAAGAGCAGCAGAATACGCCCGACCAGAAAGGCTTCCTCGCATTCGACCTGTGGGCTGCCAATTTTGCTCCGATGGCAACTCTGCTGAATTTTCAGCCCTAATTTGTTGCAACAGTCCTCCAGTGTTCACTCATTGCTCCCCTGCTGATGCCCTAGCACCCTCTGTATTTGCCTGGTATGTAGGCCCTTTTCTGGATGTTTGAACTTGAACTGGCACAGTTGGTGGCTGTCTAGTCATCTGATTTGAAATTCTACCAGCTACAGGACTAGACACCATACCCCTGGCATGTTGGGTACCCCCATTACCTGCTATATGGCCAACCCCAACTGGTGCACTCCCTTGCTGAGTTGGAGTTCTTGAGAGAGGTGATGGCGACTGGATCATCCTTGGGGATTGGCTCCTGGATTGAGGCATCCTAATATTTGGAGCTTGCTGCTGGTGTAAACTCTGGTTTTCCGTTGAAAGCCCAGAAGAGGCTCGGTAAGCACCTGTATATATACTTGGAGCTGGAAGGCCAACAACCTGTTGAACAGATAAATCTTGATTATTCCAATTCTGTAAGGAAAGATGATATGATAAAACATGGAAGACTTGAAAGAAAGTAGAACAATGAAACGTTATTCCAGCAAACACAGAAAGGGAAAACCAACAGCTCAATGAGCTCAAAGTACAAAACAACAGGTCTAAGAAAAATCAACTAAAATGGATAGTTGTCAATTGGAGTCTTGAATTTAACTTCAGCAATAAAATAGACACTACAAGGAATAAATGAAAATAAATCTAACCTGTGCTGCAGACTGATGCTGCACTGAAGATGAAGCTATATCTGGCCCCAAAAATGCATTTAATGGGGATCTAGAGAACTGCTGCTGTCGCTCCATATCACTATAACCATTTCCGACAGACAGGGCAGTCTGAGAAGCAAGGGAAGAACCATTATAACCATTTCCAACAGACAGGGCACTCTGAGAAGCAAGGGAAGATCCATTAGGGGTAACAAAATTAAAATTAGTTCCTGATCTTTGTTGCGGAGATGGTGTCTGGGATTGAGCTGGGAGAGCCTGAATTGCTATTGGAGTTCGGTTTATATTTCTGTTTAGTGATAACCTCCCATATTCATGGTGGTTCACAAAGTGTGACTGTTGTAACTGTAGATCATTTGGTGACAAATATTGACTTTGCATCACAGAAGTTGTCAGATTACTGTAGCCAAGAGCCTCTGTTTCCCGATTAAGTGCATGAGAAATGGCATCAGTTATTGCAGGAGAAATAGCATCAACTAACAGAGAAGATGTCATAAAATTGGCAGAAGCAGGCACAGAAATGCTATCAACACTAGAGGATGCAGGCCCAAGTGAAGATAAAATTCCAGCCCAGAAGTCATCCTCTCCTTGAGAAACGGCATTTTGATTAACTCCAACAGTATTGCTCAACTCTGATGGCCTAGATATATTTATAGGAACAGGTTGACTTTGTAAATCAGTGAGGATAGGTTTCCTGTCTTCAGTTTCACCAAGGATCATTGCATCCATCTCATCATCATACTTTGTGAGATCTACAACATTAGGACCAGGATTCAGGAAGCCAGGAGGCTGTTGCTGCTCTGATCCTTCGTTCTCACCACTAGGGATCTTATCATGTGCCTGATTCATGTTGTCATCACTTTCCAGGACAGCTTTCCATGATCCATCTGCGGAGATAATTACATCAGCAACGTTTTTTCCTACTTCTCTCAGGACCTGGGAAAAAAGATAGCAGGTTTAACAGTTAAAATGGTAAAATAGCAAACGGTGTGAAAATTGCAACTTCACAGCTACTTGCCTGAACCATATTTTGATCAACACGGATATCAGGGTAGCAAACATGCTGATTACAATGCGGACAGCGCCAGGATGGTCTTCTTGAATTTATATTGACAAAATTACTAAAATCAAAACACTGCAGCAAACAGAAATCAAAGACTGACTACTACAAAAAAATAGAGAGAAGGGAAAAAGGGGAAAGGGGGAGGGGGGTGTCAAAGTAATAAACATGACAAAATTTTAAAAATTATCGTAAAGAATGCTAACATTTATAGTAGTTCTAAATTTGAGCATTATACGTAAAATTACATAATCATAAGCTTTGTCAGTAAAACAAGATAGGCCCAGCATTTTGTAAAACACAGATCCAAATCATTGTGGAACTGTTAACATTACTACAGTTTTCTGAATAGCTGTGGCTTCTTGAGATATAGTCATAACATATGGCACACTCACCTGAAGATGTTTACATGATTTTCCTTTGACAGGAGTTCTGATACGTGTATAACTGTCAAGACAGAGCACCAGTCAATAACAGAATAAACAAATTTAGCCTATAGAAGAACAATAAAAAACATCATGTGAAAGTTGTTAACAAAGTAGAATTTACACACTAAGACAAAATGCTTAAAAAGAGCCAGATGCAATTTTCTGTAGACATCTCATAATTGATTAAACATAATTGGTAGTTAAGCTCATCCTATACCCCACTAGGATGGGGAAAACAGGGTAATGGACATTCCAGAGAGAACGGGGGAGGGGCAGCACATATATTACTTTCCCTTCAAAAACAAAGATACCCCCAAATTCAGTACCATACTGCTACCGCTTAGATCTTACATAAACAACCCCAATCAAATCGGTTTTTCACAGATTGAATAAATGCCTGATCCACCTCTTATTTTATTATATTAGTATATTGTTGTATTAAAAAAAAAAAAAAAAAAAAATTGAAAATTAACTTTTATTCATACACTGGAAACACAATAGATGTCCTAGAACTTGGACCATTGAATCATATGATATCTTCAGATGCAAGTGCCTCCCCTAGAGTACCAAGGTTATAATGTTGGTAGGTTTTTGCAATTCAAAGAAGGTAAATGAGAATAAGTTGCTGTATCATAGCATACCTTATGGGACAATTAAGTGAAACTCTTGATGGCCCCTCAATTAGGTCACAATCTAATGCACCAAAAGAAATAAATTTAAGAAACAGAAAAAAAAAATCAAAATTCATAGCATGCATGCAGATGTCTAATTCATGACATTAGAAGATCAATGGCATGTCATGGCAATATCAGCCCCTTAACTTTAAACATATTTTTACATCAAATTTAAACCTTTCGATTAAAGAATAACGAAGGGTAAGGACAAGAAATTATCTGCTTTAATGCTTGTTCAAGGATTTTTTATGTTTTATTATTCACTCTTATCCCCCTATTAATTACTAACCAAATGACCATCATCTAACTTCGTTCAACTTTAAATAAAAATTTGCATCAAATTTGCATAAGACCAATGCTAACATATTTCAATATTCATGGAAAAGAAGAAATTATTTATTATTATGAAATTCATTTCAACAGTAATGAAAACGACCGAAAAAAAAAAATCAAGTTAAGAAAGACTTTTGAGGTCCAAGGAGAGAGAGAGAACTAAGAGGGAAGTAAAGATGAGAGACAAAGAACAGAATCATTACATCTAATAATATAGTAATTGTGTGTATTTCTTTTCCAATGTCATTAAATTTCACTTCCAAAATCAGTTTGTCCATGTCACTATATCTAAGCCCATAGATCATTTTTTAATCCAAAGGATTAAATTTGATGTAAGAATATGAGTAAAGTTAAGATGTTGATCTTGTTCTAATGTCTAATTTCTTTTTCTTTTACTTTTGCATACCTGAATCTTGTACAGCAATATCAGACTGAACATAATCTGGTAGTGAGGAAGAGTCGAGCGATGATTCCATACTCATAAAAGCAACAACCACGACATAATGACCTTTAAAACAATTACAGTCTCTGTCAAAGCAGTGTCACACGTCCAAACAAAAATGTATGGACATAGGAAACTTGTGTCAAGCATACCATTGAACTGACCCACTGCTTGAAGAAGATTTGTTCCATATTTAAGCATTGCAGTCACATTTGTTGGCAACTGTGGCCCTGAATCCTGAAAAAGGACAATAAATACAAAAAGAAAAGTTCAATTAAGTCTATGTTACATGCGCATCAGGTGATGTTATATACACAAACGTATCTGAAGTGTTCTAAAACAAACCATAAACACATTAGTTCTTCTATCAACTCCCTTTCCGTTCAGAATAAAGCTACAGAAGGTAAACAGAAAGTGATCAGAATAAAATGAAAGAAACCCACAAGGCAAAAATGAATTTAAATGAATGATTCATACTTTGCCTCTTGGGGACTTATGATACAAGCAGAAGTCTCTATATTATCTGTTTGTGCTACAAATAACCGCTGCAGACAAAACGGAAAAGAGGGAACAAAAAAGAAAGAGTGAAATATATGCTGATACCAAAAATCATAAATACTCCAACTGTGAAAGATCTGCATGTAGATATTTGAAAATTGTATAATAGTTTGCATCCAGTACTCATAAAGATACAGTACATTCATTCTGTTACATGGATCTTCACTTCATCAAGAAGAAACAGTGTCAGATACCATGATACTGGATACTGGTATGGCATCTAAATGCTCCATTTAATGAAGAAAATTCTCTTCGTCTAGGAACATCCATGCTGCATACTGTTTCATACCTAACAGTAGCACACAAGTCGATAACTTCAACTTATAAAATAGTAAAAGAGTATCGTGTCAAAAAAGAAGAAAGTGTATCAGACAGAAGAACTCCCAAAACTCTAAGTGGAAAAGCACAAGAAATCATTTACCAGGAATTCTAGAGACAGACACAAAACGGCAGAACATAAACAAAAGATAAGGCATAATTTCATCCACTAAAACTGTAAAGACTCAATCAACATTTAATTTAAAGTAAGCTAAATTGGATTGTCACACAAAATGCAATATAGTTTACAGGACATGCTGCTGCATTCTATACCAGGCTTTGAGAATCTAGTTTAAATAAGATATGCTTACAATTCCTGGAGGAGAATGTACTGTGTTCTTTGAGATAGCGAAATCGATCATGTATGCCCCATATCCAGGCTGCAAAGCAACCGAAAATTAATATGTGCTTCAAGGAAACAAAGGATTTTAAAGGAGCTAAGGAGGAAAATGATTTCCTGTGGAGTACAGACTAACTTTTGGGTTCTCTCTATCCATCAGTACCTAAAGAATTTATAAAAACTTCCCTATTCGTTCATATAACTTAGGATTCTGTTATTGTATATAATTTAACTGTTCTTTATTCGTGTTGAGTGTTATCTTTTAGGATTAGGGGGTTAAGTGGTCTCTGAAAAATCAACCATAGGTAAGTGATATTAAGCCCCCCTCCCCCTTTTTCAAAAAAAATTAAATAAATAGTTAAATATATATAAGTTGTATTGGCATGAGAAACCACCTTAACTTCAAAAGAAGCAAGTATCGGCCCCATCTTCATTTTTGGATAGAACCTGTGCAGAGGAGACAGAGAGAAAGATAGAGCTTTCGAATAATATACTAAACATGTCAAAATAATCCAATTTATATTGTGAAAAGAAATAGCAATATTAGGACTCATAATTGATTCAATTGGCACTTTAAGCTTTCTTGTTGAAAATACCCTCAATTATCACACCCATCCAATGAAATAGGAATAAAGTCAAAGTAGATAGCTTTAACAACGGTTCAAAGGGCATATAAATATCATCATAATCAAAAAATACTGCTAGAACCTGGCATGCTTATGTGGTACATTGGAAAAAGACGATAAATCTTTAATTCCTATGACTTGAAGTCATTATTCTTGTCAGAAATAATAACCAAATACTCCATTTAGAAGCCTAAAGAGGGTCACACAACAACTTTCAACTAGCGTAGACATTTGACAGAAGCTGCTTAGGCCTAAAGGTTACAGAAAAAGGGAGCATACCTACTTGTAGCAAAACTAGAGCTCCAAAATCGGAAGAAAAATTATCTTGGACCTAAGCTACAAGCCCGATACTATTAGGCAGATATCAATTACAAGGAAAAATTAACAGAACTCAAATCAGTAATAGACTTATAAAATATAAAACACGAGCACAAAGGACTCCTACTTGATCATAATTGTTGAGATAGTGGAAACCAAATTGCTTGGTCCAGCGTTAATATCTCCAAGTCTTGAGAAGCCACTCCCTATCTAAATAATCCGAAAGATAACAATTAGCAATGTCAATGTAATAAATGTGCCATTAACTAAAAGCATAAACTTACAAGAAATATTAGTAGCAAACCTCATCAGCAAGAGTAAGAAGATCTTGACTCTCCATATCTGAAAACCATCCAATCTTACAAGCATTCTACATCAAAAACAACACCAGTTGGAGTATTCATCACCAATTAACTACAGCAAGTATAAGCATAACGAAACAACTTATATCACCAACAATAAAAGACCAGCTTCACATATGTCAGGCAGTCACAGATATGAGTAGTAGCGCACACAAAAACACATATAGACATACGCTGTAATGCGTTTCAACCAAAAAAATAAATAAATGAATAATTCAACAGTAATGAACATAAAAAATGCATCCCACACCAACAATGGTTCACTTCACACGCAGAGGAAGAGAGTGAAAAATAGAAAAACAAGGAATAGATCGTTCTTCAAAATGCTGCCAAAAAAATCTCTTGCATCAGAGTAAGAAGAAGTGATCTAAATATCAATCCCTTACCATAGATATTTAGAATACCCAATGTATGGCATTAAGTCTTTCTTTAAATAAATATCTTGAGCATGAGGAAGATAAAAATATAATACTTTAACTAAATTAATTTCTTCTAGAGTTTTAAGTATCCAATAGCAGAAATTAAATATTTTTAAAAAGGAAGCACAAAAAGCAAAATAAAAGCATTCAATTATATAAGTCATTAACCCCAAAGAAAAACCTAAATAGAAAATGTAACATTCAATCCATAGAAGTATGCATACTGTTAGAATTTTCAAAAGGGTACCCATTCAATATGCCCAAATCACAACACAAAAATCAAAATGCTATATCATCCTTCTTGGTCATGTATATAATGACCCAGAAGAATAATCCATCACTGTAATCCAAAACATTCTTTTTATGTGAAACATGCTAAAAGACAGCCAGCATTAAATCAAGTGGAAATTCAAAAATTGCACGATGTGGCATCTCAACTGTGTCACAGTCTTAAACTGCAAATTGCAGCACTTAAACGTACCTTAACCGAGATCATCAGCACCATAATAGCAGCTTGCAGTAAGATATCATGCCTCCGTTGGCATACCTGCATACACACAATAATGCACATAACAAATGACGGCTTCTGAATATTACAGAAAGACACTGATACAAAAAAGAGAAAAAAAAAAAGTTAAATTGCAATCCCCACAGACATAAATCTACATAACATGTAGGGGTAAAAGATTCAGAAGTCACCAAGTATAACAAAAGAAATAACCTGTTTCAACAATTTAGGTAACTCTCGAGCTTTGGCAGGAATCTCATTTTGTGCAAGAGCATAATCAATACCCCTGCATTTTACAAATTAAATATCGTCAAGCACAACTAAAAAGTTAACGAATGGAACAGAAAAACAACATGCTCAACTAAACTATATATAAAAAATTTAATAGAGAAACAAATGACAGTTAAACCTCGATAAATTAATATCTTTGAAACCATGAAAATTTATTATTTAATCGTATAAATTAACAAATTATTAATTTATTGAGTTAACTGAGTTGTTGAGTGAGGAGCAAATTATTGAAAACATCATGAAAAATGACAAAAGAAGATGAAGTTGAAGACGATGCTCTGTACTGGAGCCTGTCTTATGCACCCAAAACAACAATCATATGTCATAATTTTCTCTTGCAATACAAGAACATTACATCAGAGCTCCTTAATGCACCAAGAAAAGTTAGAAATGAGGTCAAGTTCAAGAGAAAACAAGTAACACTAGAGTCATATTATACAAAGGCCACCTAATTGAGTATATGGAGATTATTAATTTATATATCAAATGGTAGCTACATGATTTATTTAAAAAAAAAAAATGTATTATCTTATAAATTTAGCGAATTATTAATTTAGCACATTGGTCGCAAGTCGGGACTTATCGAGTATTAATTTATCAAGTTTAACTGTCCAATAAAATCCAAAACTTGAACTAAAATCCCCTTGTAATTAAAAAGCTATTAAATTTTTCTGGCGATTTCAAAACAGAATAAAATTCTAGAACAATACGCAAGTAAAAAGATATGAGCATAAAAGTACCTGGCAAGAGAGAGACAGAGATGGAAGAACTCCAGGATGCTAGATTTGCTGCCGGGATGAAGAGCGTGAGAGGCCAGTCGCTCGGCTACGGCGGTCACTCTGACCGAGTTGATTACCGACGGCGACAATTGCTGTCCGACACCCATGTTTAGTTCACTCGGAAAGCGTGACACCATGCCCATATCTTTTTCTCTTATCTTATAGTGGGGTTTTTTTGTTTGTTTCTTCACACTTTTTGCATCAATTAGAAATTTGTTGCTCGGAGTTACAAGGGTACATAAATTTTATTTAATTACGGGACTGCCAGGAAGGGTAGATCGTAAATAGCACATTTGTTATGTCTCATTTATTGAATGAAAGTCGGCGTTATAACCGACAGAGCTGCAATCTGGTGTGATGGATGCTACCATGAGCCCTAAAATATTCTTACGTGGCAGCAGAAAAATTAATTTGAAGAAGCAATTTGAAAATACAATCTCAGTAAGTGCTAACATGTATTTTGTATAAATAGAAATTAACAGTTTAATTAATTTAATCAAATTAATTTAATTTAATACTATAAAATATTATTTTTACTAATTCATTTTTTTCAGCTAGTTCGAACTCTTGAAATATTAACCTACAACCTAAATTTTAAAAAAAAAAAATACTGTACATTGATTCTTGTTCTTATAAAAGAGAATGACATGAATTCATCATAGAGGATTTATGTATCATAAAAATGCCATTAAACGTTGATACAATCCATCAATCATATCATGAATAATGCTAAGGACAACGAAATTTTACATCGAATTTTTGTACGGAAGGATATGGCAATCAGTCAGACGCGACCACGCTATAATTTTTTGTGAATGGACGCCCGCCCATATTTAATGGACTTCCGTTCATATTGTATGGACGAGTGTCCATTTACAGATAGATGTCCGTCCAAAAAAATTTAAAAGAAAAATAATGAACGCTCATCCATCTTATATAAAAGGGTATCTATTTACTATGGACGGATTTTTATCCAAAAAAATTTAAAAAAATTTACATTTAATAGATAAAGGTCCCTTTTAGATGGACGCTCACCCATACTAAAAAAAAATAAAATTTTAAATAAAATGAAGGGATGACTCATTCACCGTTTCTGAAGGCCGTTCCTTAATTTTGGACCCGTGATATTACTTGCTTTTACCAGATGGATACCACCGTCACTTGTATTTTCAGAGCTAGTTTTCTTTTCTATTTTTGAAACATCACCACTGATAGAATGAAAAGCAGTCACACCTGAATTCCCGGACCGAAGAAACGTAGCTCATAATCCATTCACATATGCATTTGAAAACATAAACCAATCTGACCATACTTGCAGTACTTTTAAAACTCGTTCCTGCCGAAACTCAAATAATTATCACATCAAAACCAGAAGCAGAACAAATGAAAAATACAACAGGAAGTCAAAATGAAAGTTGCCATTACTGCTCACCTTTAGGGCCTCAGCAGTAATCCTTCCAGTTATACTACGATACAAGTCATAAAAGCTCTCCATTATGTCAGGTAATGTTGCTTCAAATTTGGTACGGTAAGCAGATGCATTTTTTACAGGAGCATGAGCCCAGCAACTTTGGTTGGAATAGGGGTCTCCGAGCATGAGCCCAGCAACTTTGGTTGGAATAGGGGTCTCCTTAAGAGTCAAAGATTCTGTCAGGACTTCGACTATCTGCAAGATAAAAACCACCAAATACATCTAGAATTCATAGTGAAGAGCCCATGCTTTGCATTTTGTTTATAAATGGAAAAAAAAAAAAAAAAATAAATAAATAAAAAATTAAAAATGGACGCCAATCCACTCATTAATGGACGGCCATCATAATGAGACTGACGTCATACTTTTACTTAAAATCTAAATTTTTTATTTTATTTTATTTCATCTTAATTTAAACATTGGACAAGCATCCATCTAAAAAGGACGCATGCCCACTGAATATAAAATTTTTTGGACGGACATCCCATCTATAGTAAATAGACACCCGTCCATATAAGATGAACGGGCGTCCATTATTTTTCTTTTAAATTTTTTTGGACGGACATCCATCCATAGTAAATGGACACCCATACATATAATATAAACGAGAGTCCATTAAATATGGACGGACATCCATGAATATTAGACAACCGTTCATTCACAAAAGACTCCAACGTGGTCGCATTTGACTGATTGCTATATCCTTCAATACAAAAATTCGATATAAAATTTCGGTGTCCGTAGCATTACTCATCATATCATTATCATATACCAAGATCTACAATTGATCTAATTCATCTTTGACAGTTGAGACCATCCCTATCTTTGATTGGCGCCAATGCCATTCACACTTCATAGAACTTTTTTCAGGCACTTAGTATAGAGATGAGAAGACACTAGATTCGACTCACCTTTGGTCAATCCCAGCCGATCAAAAAAGCGACACGGCGTGGAAATGAAATGAAAGATCTGCTTCGATACAACTTCGAACATGTTCCACGTTAAGTGTTTACCAATCACCCCAAAAATTCAATCCATCATGTGATGCCATCTAACCTATTAACCCCAAAATCCAATACACAGAGATTCATGCACCACCGTCGAAACTGTATTTAGCATAAAGATTTCAAGATGTTCATCCCTTGTCAAGACATGAGTTGACAGCGGGATATCTGGCAAGAAGTAAGGCCCAATCAATTGAAAAATCCCGAATGTGTCAAAATGTTAAATATCATGCGAGGGAATATGGAATATCATATGCAGCTAAAACTTTAGTAATCACAATTTTTTCATGTGATCAGAAAGAAAATTACCCGTACTGCAAACAGAAATCAAAAGTATTGCCACCAAAAAAAAAAAAAAACCAAGAGTACCCTACACCCATTGCCCTTTGCCAATCAGCAAAGTAAAGTCAGAATTCCATTTTACATAATAGAAAACAGAAACCCCAAAGTTGGAGTGTCATCCGTGAATCAACTATTTTCAAGCTCTTGCAGTTACTCTCTGCCTTCACATTTCCCCTTTAGTGCCCAAAAGAGCTTGATAGTTTGACTCTATGACTAGCCACGCCAAGCAGAATTGATAAAAATGTATACAAGCTCAGACATGAAATATAATGACCCCATTTGTTATGCACTTCGGATCATATGATTACAGCTTCTGCACGTAAAATCATCCCTTTCCCTGAAAATAGAGTAAAAGAGTTAAAATTACGACTCTTCCAAAATTGACACATTCAAACACAGGTTGCAAGGTGAAGAGCAGACAAATTGGTAAACAAAAGGACTTTAGAAAGAACTGAAGAATGTATTATTCTGCTCTGAATGGGCAAGTTCTGTAAGAATAATAACCATAACATAATTTAGCATCTTCAGATGCCAATCATTTGTTTTAGGGGCACTGCTTTGGTGTATAATAAGCAACCCAACTAACTAACCAATTCTTGGAACATCGATTGTCACAAAAACAAATTGCAGCAGAACGAAATAAACCCAATGCTCAGGCGACAGAAACTTATGTTTCCAAAATTGATCGACACCTATAACTATTAAGTTAACGTCTTGGATCATTGTTTAGGGTGATAATCGTTCACGTAAATCTCCAAAGGAAATACCCAGAGATATGACTTTCAACTTTTAATTGTGAATCTTTGAACAAGTTACTAGTTCCTAGTATGGTTACATAAAATCTGAACAGTATGTTCAGCATCCAACCTGATTAAACAGGCCATTACTGTGAACAAAGTTCAATTTACAAGTTATATAGCAAATAAGATCTTTGTTACCTTATGAGGTGGAGTTCCTGGTCTCAACATGTTGTTGCCAAATCCAATTTTCCCTTTCTTCTCAGAAGCTTTAAGGATCTGAAACGAACACGTTAATGTATCATCCACACTCATCATGGCACCGGCATTATCAAATTCACCACAATAGTTTGGTGCAGAGAATATGGTGACCAGCTGCCGTTTTGCAAAGAACTCATAACCATCTTCCACAACCTGATGAATCATGACCATGTAAGAACCATAATGGAGAGACTTTAGGTCAACAATCAGCAAATGCAGAGATGTAGTTGCTTGCATAGGGGGAGAGAGAAAAAGATGGTTATGATGAGATGATGATAAGAGTAATAACATGTGAAATTAATGTTAACTAATAATAGGATTCAGATAACATAAGTCCACTTTCCATGCAAGAAAACATGCACCATAATTGGAAAAGAAGACTCCAGTTACATTACCTGATGAGCTCGACAGACAAGATCAAGGTCGTGCTTCTCAAGAAATTCACCAACTTTGTCAGCGCCGAATGTGTATGACACACCCCTGTCATTCTCTCCCCAGCCCTCAATATCTTTATCAGGATCAGCCCACAAGAGATCACAGAGAAGGCCCTGATCCGGCACATCAACAGGGCGAGCAATATTCCTGATCTGATCTAAGTTTTTCAAATCAGGAGATAACCCACCATGCATGCAAAGGATCTTTTCATCTATGAGAGCAGCAACAGGCAAACAATTAAAGCACTCGGTAAATGTCTTCCACACACGAACATTAAACCTCCTCTTGCACTCATCATAGAAACCGTATATTCGGTTGATAGAAGCACATTCATGATTGCCCCTAAGAAGAAAGAAGTTCTCCTTATACTTGATCTTGTATGCCAGAAGCAGGCATATAGTCTCTATGCTCTGCTTACCACGATCAACGTAGTCCCCTAAAAATAAATAATTTGCTGCAGGTGGATACCCACCATACTCAAACAATCGTAGAAGATCACCAAATTGACCATGGACATCTCCTGCCAAATAAATTGCAAACCTTATCATTCACGGAAGTAGATGGAAGTTCGAGAAAGCCAATGGAAACAATATTCTCATAAAGTTACATGTGTGCACATATCACATTCTCTTTAAAAATAAGAAAGAGAGAGAAAGAATCACTCTCCCAAAAAAAAAAAAAAATCTCCATTTATGGCCCACAAACAAATGTGAGACATAAATTTTCACACAATTCTGGGCCAAGGGAACAAAATTTGTAGCATAGTCATTGTCTTTAAATGTCCTCCACAGGCCCTGTCAGAAATATATCATATAAAAGGAGCATGTCCATCTTGCAAAGAAAACTGTTTTCATTATTACGCTGATCATATTCTTGGAAATCAGGTTCATTCTTTATCATGCACATAACATAAGTAGAAATTCCATAGTTGTCAATAAGAAAATGGACAAGGAAAACCATTCATTCCAGTGCCAACCTCAATTAGTTTGCGATTAATGCTTATTTTCCATATCTATGGCCACCTCTACTGTCAATGTAATAATAGAACTTAATACTCATCAAACAATTCCTTGTTTAATTTCTTCTTTAAATGTTCACAAGTCTTTCTCTTCCCCCTTTAGTATCATTCAATTTAATCTCTCTCTACTTATCATATGTTCTCCCAATTTTCCTATTAAAGTTTAGCTTCAAACAAACAAGCCAAGCCAAGCTCCTTATCGAACCATGATTTGCAGAAAACAAGTCTGTTCATACATAGCTCAAATATGCACTGTTAGTAATAGATGCTCCCAGTAAAGGGTAAAAAGCTTCTTCCTTAATTTCTGAGACACTTTGTCTTTTATGTTTCAATTGTCGCTTACTTTTATTTACTTCTTCCCTTCTATGTATTACTTTAATGCAGCAATACTGTAATATTATCTATGTACTAGGCTTACATCCTTTTAAGTGTTTCCAGTTCAGTTATTTACTGTTAGAAAAGAAACGAATTCAAGGCACCATCCTAGCACAATGTAGTTCAAGCAGAGGAAATAAATTTTCAGAAAGAGGTTTAAGATTTGAGAAATGCTAGCCTTACAAAGATGCATACAAAGAGGGGCATACAAAGACAAATCATACCCTTAATCTTCATGATTATCTTTCTCTCTCTCTCTTTTTCCCTTCTTTCAAGGGTAGGATTTATCTTTGTATGCCCCTCTTTGTATGCATCTTTGTAAGGCTAGCATTCCTCTTAAGATTTTCCCCATAAAACAAGGGATGGATTCACCCATTTGTATACATGCTGTGGAGAAAGGGGCCACAGAATGGATGACATTGTCCTAATTCTTCTGTGTGTAAGTGCACGACTGCACGTGGTGCATGTTAAGAGACAAAAGTTGAATATCAAGGCATAGGGGATTATTTTCCTAAACAAGCGTGAATCAGGCAAACAGATATCATATATAGAACTTTGATGGTAAATCTCAGAACAAAATGCATTAATAGGAACCCCATTTGCCAAAATTTAATCAACAATGGGATTGCAAGCCAAACATACCTGGTAATGGGTACTAAAATAAAAAACGTCATTACAAGAGACTGTACAAATGATGCATGAGTAAAATGTTAAACAATGGACACAATACCTAAATTATAATCAACGATGTACATCAGCCGTCCTACATAACCCACATGTTGAAATTTTAAGATTTTTTAACATATGCACTCAAAAAACTCAAGCCAATTCTTGTACCAATCAAACCAATTCAATCATCGTCTCTTTTCAAAGCATACTTAATATCACTTCATTTCAATAATCGGCTTTAAAAAACTAAAAAAGGGTTTTTACTTTTAGCATTCTATGCACCAGTTTTATATCTCGGGATTCTTTAATTTGCTCTTTGCAATTCGAACCTAATCAGCTCAACCAATCTTATTAACACAGGAAATTTCTCAAAAGCAAACACCTGCTAGATCAGGTCACCACATCAACTCTAACATAACCCCACAAAATATAATTAATAAATTAATAGGTATATTTACATGCTGCAATTTCCTGTGAAATTCAAATGCATAGATTTCCAAAAATAAATAAAAAATAAAAAAATATATACAAGAAAAACTGAAAAAACACCATTAAACCAAAAACACTAACTAGTCAAACCGCATAAAAAAATAATGACTTAATTAAACAAAAAAGTATTTTTCAATTTTACCACAAATCTTTATAGGAGCTTCGAGTTCAAGCAGATTAGGTTGGCTAAGGAAGATCTCCTTGGAGGCGACACAAAGCTGCCTTATTTCAGCTTCTGTAAGCTGCACCTGCTTCGTTGTCCTCCCATTCTTCGCATCAAGGAGACGTCGTATTATATCGTCAAGCACACTCTCATCCATCAAGAAACACAAACAATCACACAGTACTCAAAACCCTAAAATTTCAACTTTACAAAAAATAGATCAGCTTCTAACGGTTACAAGATTATCTCGTATCGGATTTAACAGAATCCGGTAACGGAACAAGGAGTGGGCGGTAGTTTAGTGAGAGAATCACTGGCGCCTGGCGGCCATTTCCCGCTCGGTGGAATTGACGGGGTTAAAAGAGGAGGATAGATAATGAGGTACTACTTGCTGTTATGTGGGGTTGGGTGGGGACGTATATAGAGAGAGAGCCCTAGCAAATGTGTTTTGAGAACCCTATCTGCAAAATTAGGGAAGCATGCACATTGCACGTGCGTCTCCGCGGGCTCTCGCCACTATGGCCAACTCGTGTGTTGCCTACTGTTCCAAATGATGCCGTCATCATTGTATTCTTTTGATTAGATTTTTTCTTTTTCTTTTCTTTTTTTTTTACTTTTAAAGTGGATCAATCATCAATGTAAATTATTTATTATAATTCTTGGTTTCTTTTTATTGTGGACACTTGGATCAATCCAACGGTTACATTAATTTGTAACTACATAGAAGTATTATAAAATTATGATGATAAAACAACAAAAAATAAATATTATAAAATAAAGTAGTTGATACCCCGTGAGGTCATGATATTATCTTTTAGTGATGTGGCATCACATAATTACAGTGTTAATTAAAGTTTTAGATCTTAAAAAGGTAATAAATACACTGAAGAAAATAATTTGTTGTAGCTTATTGGATCGTGTCGATTAAAATTTAGCAAAGTAATTAACAATGGAATTGTAATATCATGGTTAATTATACTAATTAGACAATAATAATATTAGCTCAATCAACCTCCTAATTTTGAAATATAATATTAAGTTTGGATAAAACTCATCCTAAAATACTAGCTCAATCAACCGACAGTTTTGCTGGCCACTTTTCGTGTGGACAATATTAAGAAACGACTGCCATGTATCAAGGCAAAGCATTAGAGCCAGATCTTGTATTAAGAAAAAAGTGGCGTGACTTGGGGGCATTAAACCCAATCAATTTACACCATGTTTAACTTTAATTAATCAAAATCACACGTTATCATTTTAATTCTGCCACGGTCACGTGTCCTAAAATAAATCAATAATTGAATTCTCATGGCGGTGTCAAAAAATCTGGTTAGAAGTCATCATTGATTACATCATATACTTGACTATACTGAACATCTAATTGAAACTATTATTATTGCATCGTTCATAGATAATTGGGATGTAACATCATGCAACTAATTGTTATTTTTCATATCAATATATAAGCTTTTTCTATTAATTATTTTTATAAAATGATTGTAAAACCAAAACCCGATATAACCCTAGGAAATATTATTTTATACGGAAGATTCCTATAATAAATAATTAAAAATTATATTATTAACTTAACCATTAGCCCTGTAGCCAGATAACAAGACTTTATTCATCTAAATAGGGTTACTTAGAAGTTTTGTGTTTAAGTATATTAGGTTTGTAAGATATTCTATAAACCCCGAAGATTAATTGAGGTATTGGACTATTTTATTCTCAGTCCAATGTTTGATGGCTTCCAATTGATTGAATTAGTAATCACAAATTCAAAATTTAATCATAATACAAGATTGAAGTAAAAAACTCCTAAATCAATTACTCCAGTTATATTAAATTTAAAAATTAATGTTTCTGATTATTCTAACGTAAATAAATATTTTTTTCATTTTATTTAAAACATCATTGTCTAAATTTAATTGTAAATAAAAAGGTAAAAAAATTGTTATTTAATTGTAAATAAAAGTTACAATACTATTATTAAATAATAATTAACTATAAAATTCAATCATAAGTTAATTTATATTTACATAAAAAAGAATGAAAATATACTAATATATTCACAATCCAGTGTCATAAGAGACAGAATATCGATAACCAGTCCAAAATCCAATCCCATCCCAGCTCCCAAACAGAGGCCTTGATAAATAACTCGTTAAGTTCCTGGATATCACATCAGTGATTCAATATCATTATAACATTATTTTTATTTTATTTTTTAATTTATATTTTTTCCGCCTTATTAATTTATGTTTTATGATGGCAGATTAACTTTGGACACGAACAGTAGGAACTGACGGTGTTACAATAGTTAAGGGGCATACCTGTCATTGCACAATGAAATGACCAACTGGCCACTTGTACACCTGCTCTGACTCCTACGGTTATCGACACATTAGAATCTTACACGTCGACATGAAGGATATTTAAGGCAAGCCAGCACTCATACATATCCAATAACCAANATAAGAGACGGATTATCGATAACCCAGTCCAAAATCCAATCCCATCCCAGCTCCCAAACAGAGGCCTTGATAAATAACTCGTTAAGTTCCTGGATATCACATCAGTGATTCAATATCATTATAACATTATTTTTATTTTATTTTTTAATTTATATTTTTTCCGCCTTATTAATTTATGTTTTATGATGGCAGATTAACTTTGGACACGAACAGTAGGAACTGACGGTGTTACAATAGTTAAGGGGCATACCTGTCATTGCACAATGAAATGACCAACTGGCCACTTGTACACCTGCTCTGACTCCTACGTTTATCGACACATTAGAATCTTACACGTCGACATGAAGGATATTTAAGGCAAGCCAGCACTCATACATATCCAATAACCAACCATCTTTGTGAAACGTGGAGGTATCTAATTGGTTTACTTTATCATTTTTCTAAATTGAAATGCAGCAGATTGCTCCTCTTTTGGGGGATAATGCCAGGTCAACACCTCAAAAGGGCAAGTTATTCAGTCATTCTGGATTAGGCTGACGCCTATCTCACCGGAATATTCCAAGCCGACGACTATTTCACAAACACACATCTATCTTTTCCCGAAAACTATAAATACTTATCATTCTTACGAAATTTGTGCCCTAGAAAGTTCAATTTCCATTTAGCCTCCATTTGATAGCCGCAACAACCATGCTCGTCGAACTCTTCGTTTCCAAACACCTTCTGTTTCATAAATCTCTCTCACTTCCCTTCTCAATATCCCACCGTACTTCGCATCTGTACACTCAAAAGTTGTGATAGATCGCGGGAGATGTTCGCTACTTACACTCAATTTGATGTTAATTATAGTAGTTTGTCGTATTGTTGCTGTAGCTGTGTTGTACGGTGATGGATGCGGTGGAACTTGGCTATCCGGTGGATGTTCCGAAACTCATGGGATCTGATGGTTTCGGTAGAGCTAGGGTTACAGTCAACGAGGTCGAGGCCGTCGCTTGCGAGTCTAACACTCGCGTTTCGATTATCGTTAACACGCCGATTGAACGTTGTAGTACTTTTCTTAGACAAAAAGGTTTAACTTTTGAACTTTTAATTTTTGCAGTAGTTTTTCGGTTTTGTGGTTAAACTTGATTGTTGTTAGATTTAAAATTGGAGAGCGTATTTAATGGATATTGTATTGTTTAATATCTTTCCGCATTTTTTATATTGTTAAAAGTACTTGTCTTTGTTGATTAACTCTAATAATTGTATTCATGACTCTTCTGTTTCAATTAACTGTTAATTGTGTTTTTTTTCCTGAAATGTGATTATACTTGATATGTTATGCCATCCGGCAGATGTGACAAGTACTGTTAATGATTTGGAGTCAACATGGGATAAGATTCAAAAAACTGAACCTCGGAAACATGATAGTCAGCTACCCAGTCTTCATGTTGAAGACTCATCTGCACAGCTTAAAAGTGGGAGCACCAGTTGTCCTTCATCGACTTCAAGGTCCGAAGTGCAACGAAAAACAGGGAAAGTGTCAAGAAGTAGTAGTGGATGTTCGAAGAGACCACGGTTGGCGCAATTAGAAGACAACATGAGTTCAGCTGGAGTCAATGATATAAAGGATATATCTGATAATGTAGGACCTCATCCTACTAACAAATGCAATCCTCTGGGTAATAATTTTCTTCTTTATTAATTAATAAAACTATTTGATGTGAAGTACATGATTATCTAGTTGAATAGAGCAAAAAAAAAGTTTAATTCCTCTTCAAGGGATTATCTTCATGATTTAGTACTACCGTAATCTCCATACTTACAAACTTTCCTACAATTCTGTATGCATATATGGAGGAACTTTTAATTTTTAAACTAATCATCATAGAAGCAAAAATTTGCTCACTGCCGTATATAAATAGATTTTATTTTATTTTTGCTTTCTCTTTTTAAGGTNTTGGCGCAATTAGAAGACAACATGAGTTCAGCTGGAGTCAATGATATAAAGGATATATCTGATAATGTAGGACCTCATCCTACTACAAAATGCAATCCTCTGGGTAATAATTTTCTTCTTTATGAATTAATAAAACTATTTGATGTGAAGTACATGATTATCTAGTTGAATAGAGCAAAAAAAATGTTTAATTCCTCTTCAAGGGATTATCTTCATGATTTAGTACTACCGTAATCTCCATACTTACAAACTTTCCTATAATTCTGTATGCATATATGGAGGAACTTTTAATTTTTAAACTAATCATCATAGAAGCAAAAATTTGCTCACTGCCGTATATAAATAGATTTTATTTTATTTTTGCTTTCTCTTTTTAAGGTGCTGTTTTCCATGTTATCTTATTGCTCTTTATTTTCAGACTTATTAGGCATATTGGGTTTTGTTACTTAATTTGTTGGGAATCAGTTGGTTTTATAAGTTGTCTGTCCAGATTTGTTTTTTTCCTAGAATTATAATCACTATATTTTGTAATATTCAGAGTCCGTTAAAATGTTAAAGGAAATTTCGTATCTTATTTGCCATTTGTGTCTAATTATACTAATACATCATTTTTTTCTTTTGTTGTATATGTTATAGAGAAAAGTCAAACTGTGAAGCAAAAGAGCCATGTTAGTGGCAAGCGAGGTGATAAAAGAAATTTCAAAGTTTCTATGAAAGCCAAATATGATTCCTTCTCCATGAGGGCTGGTTTGATGAGCTTCAGTTCAGCTGCTGGAGGGAACAACTTTTTTGGTATGACATTAATGTAGAAAAACTGTTTTTGTTAACGTTTTGTGTATGGATTTGTCAATTGCTGCATATCGGATAACATAAATAAATGAATAAAACAAAAATAAAAAAAGAAGCAAGATATATTTAAGCTAATAGTAGAAACAACTCTGTTGTAAGGTCTAAGACTTTTAGGACAAAAACACATTCTTTTGTGCATTTTAGCTTTAGTATTTCTCTTTAATAAGAATTTATTTATTTAAAAAAAAAAATTGTTCTTGTATATGCTTCTTATTACTGAAATTCATGTGTACACCATTGGGCATCAATGTCAGGAGCATATGGTCTGAAGTCAGATATTGATGATATCACAAAGCATGTTGATGATTTGTCATTGAGAGACCTCCTTGATGGCACTTACAAGTGTCCTAGTCTAGGCAAAGACAAGGGGAAAAAAGCAACAAATATGAATGAAAGTTTTGTGCAATCAGTTAGAAAGGCTTGCTCTATTCTTCCACTTGCAAAGCCTCCTCAGTCCCAAAATTTTACTGAGGTGGATAGCTGTACCAACAAGAAACTGGTCACCTGCCCTTCGAGCTCCATTTCATCGGTATCAAGCAGTGTTGATGTTGATAAAGGAGATTCCTGCTCACCTGGTCTGTCATCATGCAACAAGGTTTGTCATAAGAAATGATCTGGGATCCTGGATGGGTGGTGTAGTCTTTTCTCTTATTGACTATAATTAGTAATATTATGATTCACATTGATCTGACTTGAGCATTCTAGGAAACTTAAAAATGTTTTTGACCTTTGTGAAATTTTTAGTTGTCTGATAACAATCATTTTGTAATCCATAAATCGATTAGTGGATTGATTAATAATTCGTTTATAGTTTATTAAACCAAAAAAAAAAAAAAAAAAAAAAAAAAATGTTTGTTAGTGGATGCACCATTTCAGTGATGTGTCTTGGGTTCTCCCAACAGGGACTCTTTAGATCTGTCCTTCCGTTAACCATCATTTTTTCTATTCATTGATAGTGATCTTCATCTATGTTTGATCATCCAGGAGTCTTGTAGCAAGCCTGGAGCTACTAAAAATCTTGATTTTCCATTGTATCAACCGAAAGATATTTTAGAAAGGTTAGCACTTCCTCGACCCAAGGATTTGGAGGCCTTGCTTCTGGATGCAGCCAAGCCTTCTGCACCTTCAAGAAACAATTCTGATATACGTTCAGGCAAGCACATTTCTCGCCGAGCTAGCTTGCCACCGTTTCCCTGGTCACATACTTATAATGGGCACTGTAGAACCAATTCTGATGCAGTTAAGCTTTTAACAAGTAGAAGTACATGCCAAGGTCGATGGGCAAGAATAAATAGTAGTGCAATTCTTGGGGCTTCAACTGACAGTTTTACAAACTTGGAGTTACTCACTTATGATCAGAGTCTGGTTCCCCCATCAACATCTGTTAGCACTCCTTGGTGTGAGTGGGGTTCATCATCTATTGTAACAAGTTCAAAATCTTCTCTTGTTAATCCTGGTAAGATTTCTTGGAGGCTAGTTTCACTAATGAAATTTGATTTGTTGTTTCCATGTATGGATGTTCGTGCATGCCTATATTATACCCAAACCCTCTTGAAGTAATAACCAATTATTAAATTTTTGAAGGCCGGTGTTTTTTTTCCCCTCTACCTGAAAATTTGTTATATTATTAGGTCTGTGCTTGTAGATTCTCCCCAACGTCATTCCCCCCTCTGATTCAGAGTGCGTTTTTTTATCATTTTGGCTTTAATGACATTGCTTTTTGTGAAAATGCAGAATCTGGAGCTGAGCAAAAGGATCCAGTAAATGGTATGATTTTCTCTTTCCAGTATCTTTGTTTAAATCTTAACTTGAATACTGCCAACTTTCCTCTGTTTGCATGTACCTGTTTATCAATTCCTCTTTTTCTCTCTTTACATGGCATGCGTATGGGTATGCAAGCATGATATTTTTTCTTTTTCTGAAATGAAAATTTGTATATTTCCCCTTGGTAGATTTGCGTTATAAACTTTAATCTGACTGGTATGAAAATTATATCTACTGGAAGTTGTTTTGCCTGATTAAGTTTGATCAGGGGGTGTGCCATGTTCTGCATGAAACTTGCTTCCTACTTGAAGAGAGTAATAAAACCGATGGTCATGGCTTTGATAGAGCTTTCTATCTGGCCTTTTACCTGAATTCCTTGAGAAATCAATGTTGTTTATGCTGTAATACAACAATTTGAAAGATTTAGCTTAATTCGCATTTAAATTAAATGTTGCCCTGGCTTTCTTTTGTCTGTCGTTTTACGATGTCTTATTGTTTGTCACAGCTGGGCACTGCCCAAGAATTGTAGCTGCTGCTGAAACTCTGTGTGACATGGCAGCCCGATCCTCGAGAAAAAAGCCAGATGGAGTCTTAGGGTGGCTAAAGAAACCGTCACAGAAGGCCATGAAGGCTCGGAAGTCAAAATCCTTTGAGAAACCTGGAGTATTTATTACACGGTTTTCACAATCAGGACCTGACAATCTGGTGAGAAGTGGTATCAACAAGATAACGCCCTCTAAGAGGTCCAAGCTCTCCATGATGGAGAGTAAAAAAAATCCCTCTCATACCAATGGTATCAGAAAAGGACTAACAAATTGGTCTGCTCCAAGATCTAGTAGATCATCACCCAGTAAATCAGTTAGGGACTCAATTGCAGAAACAAAACATTCCACTGCCGACAATTTGAGGCAGTCATGCATGATGCCGCCACCTTCCCGAGTTTTGGATAAGACTTGCAACGGTCAACAGAAAATACAAACAATAATGCCGGCTGATTGGGACAGGGGGAGGGACAGGGTGGATTGATGAATACTGTTTTGGTACATTTGTGTGATACGGGACAGGTTATCAGCAACAATGGTTGGTTTGTACATATTGGACTGTAGGTGAAATGAAATAGTAGTATTTTTTTAAGGGATTTTGCTGGAGGTGAAAGGAGATTTGTTGTAAGGGTTCTCCTTAGACAGACAGACAGGGTTCCAATGTTGTAACATTAAATGAGAGTTGTAGAAATACAGTAGAAAATTCTTTGCCTTGTGTAAAGCATTTGATGAGGCAATAGAAAATTTCACGCAATCAGTATTTTATCTTTCTCTGTGTATTAATACACTTGCATATCCTGATGAGTTTGTCCGGAAATTTCTTGTATCCATAAATGTACTTTATTGAACAGAGTACGTCAACACGACCTTTATTTTTAGGAAAAATTGCAGGTTGCTTATGCTGAAATAGAAAATTATGACGTGATGGTAAAAGAGAAATGAGATTTTATAAGCTTTAATTTTGAGTCTCTCTCGGCATCGATAAAACAGCCAAATGAGATTCTATAAACTTTTGATTTTGAGTTTCTCTAGGCATTAATAAAGATGACTATTAGAGTTTTTACTCGGTCGGTAGTTCTAGGGTTTCAAAATATTAGTTGAAATGCACACAAGCTAGTTTAGATACCCGTGGTTAAGGGTGATCGGGTCAAGATACCTTAGGATTTTTGAAAGAATCGGAATCAGAACTAGTCGATTCCTAAAATTAAGAACCGTAACTGGAACCAATCGGTTCTGGTTCCTCAATTGTTGGAACCAGAACCTATGAAATAGGTTCCAATTTCGGTTCCGGTTCCGGGACCCTGCATAATCACATTGGTCCCTATAACTATACAAAATGACAAAAAAGGCCTATAAATTTTCAAATACACCCCCATTTGTTTAAATATTCTATAACAATATAACTTTTTCCTTATTAATTAATTTCAATATTTCAAATAATTTTAATATATAGTGTAAGACTATATATTACAATTATGCATAGCTTCTTCATATCCAAAATCCAAAATGTTCAATATATAGTCTATCACAAATTAAAATTGATTTGGGGATCTCATTGTTAGGTTTAGTTTAGAGGTAAAGTTTGTTAAAACTCCCCAATGTTGTATAATAGTTTGTATAAACCTCGGTTCTTTTCCCGATTCCTTGCAGGGTACCCTGTTACCAGTTCCTAGCAGGGTACCCTATTCCAGGTTCCGGTTCTAGTTTCTGATGCTTGGAATGAAGGAACTGAAACTGGGGGGGTCCCGGTTCTTATTTTTTAGAATCAGAACCTACCCTGTCAGGGTCGATTCTGGTTCCTACCCGAAACTGGGACCTCGGGTACCTGCTAGTTCCAGGTAGAACCAATTTTCATGCTCACCCCTACCTGAGGTGATAAGAAAAAAAAAATAGAAAATTTTCATCTCCTTTCAATTTCTCCAATTAAGAAGGGGGTGACCAGTTTAGACTTTAGATAGAAATTGAAAAAATTGTGTCATATTCTTTTTCTTTTCTGTTCTGGTACTATATTATTATTAAATAATTTATTATGAATACGCTGTCAGTCAACTGGGGATGTAGCTCAGATGGTAGAGCGCTCGCTTAGCATGCGAGAGGTACCGGGATCGATACCCGGCATCTCCATTTTTTTTTTCAGTTTTCAATTATCGTCATCCTCCTTTAATCAAATTTCAATGAAGTATTATTTGATCAATACTGAGAAACTCCAACAAGTTAAACGAAATCTGCACCAATAATATCAACTCTTTTTCTCAAAGCAACTACATCTTCAAGTTCATATTACTTGTCTGATTAATTCATAACAACAGTATCCTTTGCGTTAGCTTCAATTAATTATCATTGCAGATATTTTCATTATCACAAAAATATATTAATTTACAACAAACAAAGAAACTGCTAAAAATCTAAGAAAACATTTGATCCAATAACAAGACCAAAGCCATTGCAAATCCAGGATCAAAACCAGGCTGTACCGTCAAAACAAACACCTCAACTCCAAAAGAAATTCCTACAATTGTTGCTTCCTTCCTCTTGATTTCAGCCACCACTCTTCTTGATTCATCTACCACTTTGCATGATCTATGTGCATACGAACCTTCAACTGCATACGCATATCTTTTATTTGAAGCTTCTCGATACACGTGCGCTAGTACATTTCGTTTCGCTTGAAGAATGCTCATCTGCTTCTTTACACTACAAATTGGTCTCTTCGATAACTTATCTCTTCCACACTCTTCATCTACATCTCCTTCATAAACCAGCCAGCTATCAACTATCGTAAGCTTCTGCAAAATCAAACACTAACCCACTTAGAAAATATTGATTAAAATTCTAAATCAGATATATGCATATACATCTATTCATGTTCTTATATTATATTACCTTACGACGTCGCAATGTGAGAAGAGATTTCCCAGAGCCGTCCATGAGAACAACTTCTTCAGGACGTCCCATGTAATTATCGACTCGATAAGCAAGATTTCCATTTTTGTCAATTACTGTAAATCCATTACAGCTTGCTATAAGCGATTTTCTCCACACTGTTAACGATGTGCAGTGACCATCCAGCTCAATATTATTCTTGAACTCTGGTTCTTGCTGTTCTTCATGGACTGATCTTGACAGAGACTTGAAGAAAAGAAACATTTTTATCTCTCCGTTTGAACCTTTTATTTTAAGAGGACATAGGGAACATAATTCACATATTTATAGCTATCTTCAAATTATATATAAGCCCTTTACCTAACTAGTCATGTCTAGTCTTCTAGAGAACTTTAGATGATGGAGATTAAGTTAATGATGCAGCTTGATTTCTTAATATTATAATTAACAAGTAATTCATGTTGGAAAATGTGACACGTGTATGCTTCCATAATCTGAGGTGTCTAGTCTAAGATTCCAAAATTTCTCTTCTTTTGATTGTGAGATGGGATGGGTTAGGTTAGGTGTGTTTCATTGTTTGAAAAGTGTTGACAAGAAAGAGAAGCACAAAAATTGGGAGAGAGGGGGGGGTGGTGAAATCCAAGAGAGCTTTACTGTTGTTGTTTCCGTCAATATTAGGTGCCAGTTTGGTCCTTTTTTTAACCCCATTAACGCCTTAATTACTTTACAAATATAATTTACTAATTAACACAGTCCTTTTTTTTTTTTTTTTTATGTTTGTATATATTGTTTTTGTCATATATTGAATGCCCTTTACAAAAGTCTCTCACTTGTACGATGATTTTGTAGCTACCTTGCTTAGAAGCCTATTTTTACCACCCCAAATTGGAAATTTTTATGTAAGTTAATGTCCTTATATCATAATAAACACATCTAGAGCATTAGATAGACAACGGCTTGAACGGGATGTATAGAGGGATGCATGGTTGAAAGCGTTCTTCGGATCTTGAGTTCGAGCTGTATTAAAGGATGACCAATTACTGTACTTAAAAAAAAAAAAGGGAAAAAAACGAAAAAAGCACATGTTATATTGGAACTTGTTTTCTACGCTGGGATTGAATGATTACCTTGATGTACATGTTTATTAACGATTAATATAGAGTCGCTTTTGTTAATTCTCTTCAAACACGTCTCTTTTTTTTTGTTTTTCTTTTTTAAATTTAAAGAGATGAGTAAAATGGTCCCAAAGGGCACGTTGAAAACAGCCTATAGAGAGAGACTTCCCACAGTTGAAATTGAAGAAGGAAAGTTATACATTCATGATCAGACTGACAACCGACAGGTTCTTCTTCTTAATTTGAACCACCAATTGATGGCACAAATTCTAAACCTCAGTACCTAATTAGTTGTTGAATAAACTTGCCATTAATTCTACAGGTTTCAAATAGTCTCCTCAACTCCCCTTTGATAATTCTGACAAATGACTAGGGTTTTAATATAATGCCTAGAGATAATTTGTACAGTAACATAAATGGAGTTAGTGAATTCGTTTACGTAATTCTTATGAAAGAAAACAGTGAAGCAGATGTACGGGTAGTCTTACTATTGGTTCTCTTAACATCAGTCAATTCTACTTAATTTTGCTTTGATCTGCAGCAGCCGACCATGACCATTTGTATAATCTTTCTTCTTCATTTAGTTTCCTCTTTTTTCAAACTTATGGTTCCGGGTTCCTTTCATTCCATGTGTACAGTTAATCTGACAATAAAAGAAATTAACTTAGGTGATTATTCATAACCAATCTTACTTAAACACGCCATTTATGTTCTTTAGGTCACCTTCAGTAGTTCTTCTGTTCATCTGAATATTATATTGCTATAGTCCAAAGTGTTCCCCCTTCGGAGTTCACTTTACTGTTGATGAAAGCATTTAAGAAATCGCCAAAATATTTTCCCTAACAGGAGTTAGATTCTTGGAAGATCTTCCAGTGTCGAGTCAGTCAAAACACCTAACACCAGACAAAATAAACAAGGAATTAAGTTGTATACGGCTTTGAGTTTGATAATTCTATCTTCTCCAGATTCCTGAAGCATTGGACACGCGGCCTTCTTCCAAAACATAGAAGATTAAACCAGGTGTACATATGGCGGGTCCCTTGGAGATATTATTCCTTGCTAATTTTAGAAAAGATTACAGCACTATGAACAAGATGTCTGACTGTCAAACCACGTGCACATTTTACTATAAGCGGTGATGGTGATGGTGATCTGCATCTGCATCATCTTTTTGCTATCTACTTTGAGACTCATTCATCAGCATCAGCATCAGCTTCTTGCTATAATATAATTAAATATGAAGCTTCTTATTTTATAACTCTTGATAACGGACTCTTATACTAAATTCTCTTAACTTTGCCTTAACAACCGATTTATTTATTCAATTTGTTGCCTTGTGTAGTAACGAAGAAGATCGTTACATTGAAGAGTAAACGACTTCCCCCTCCCCCAAATAATAGTTTAATGATACTTTTCTATTTTAGACTATTAAAATATCATTTTATTATCTAAATTTATATTTCATTTTCGATTTTAGCATCATTATGACCTCACATAACCACAATTCTTTTCTCTTATAATCACTCACTAAAACCCTTCAAACCCTACTCCTATCGACCCTGCCAATGTTGGCAATCGAGCGATTAGGGTTTGTGCAGTCACCCCTCCCAAGTTAAATTCCGATCAATTTCAACCATCAAAATTCAACATTCTACCATCAAAAGACTCATCGACCTTCCCTCTTCAAAAGCCCCAACAGCCTGGACTGAATTTGCTCTTTGTTCACCATTGAAATATAAATGTAGGTAATAAAG